CTAGGCTCATCCCTAGGTGGGCCAAGACTTGGTTGCATGGGCGCCATGGCTGAATCACGGGGTTGGCCTTGAGCTTGGGCTTCTCCACTGCCACCAGCAACTCTGCCACCCCTTTCCTCAGGTCCATCCATTGTCGAAACTGCTCCAAGGGGCTCTGATACCACTTGTTATAGTCACAATAGCCTTGAATGTGCCTAAAACGAAAGATAGAGTGCACAGACGGATTTCTGCACAGCGGCTTCAAACGTTGATAGCGTTCTGCTCACAGCTGCAAATGACTTGATTCAAATTGGATCTGGAGCGTCTTAACATCGCCTACAATAAGCAATTTAGATTGCACGATTTCATAAAGAATTGACGACACAGCGTCGGTTTGAACGAACGGTACTATGGCAGCCACTATAGTCTTAGAACACAAGATAGGAAGAGTTACGAGTTGGGAATGACTCCCAGCTCCTACAAACCCCAAGAGCCGAGGTACAGTGATGTGGAACAGTGCCACACTGTCCCCAACCATGAAGGGTCTCGAAACTACCCTCCACAAGGGCCTACACCAAGAGAAATGTTACACTACACAAAGTAATGCAACTATTCTCACTATCTTAAAGTTTACCCTTTTGGAGAGCTTCGAAATAACTTGAATCTTGAAACCAAGGCTCTGGTTCTTCAAGGTAAATTCTTCCTTGAGTTCTTGGAAGTCTGATGCGCACACCTGCGACACGCCGAACGTTCCACACACGACAAAATAGAAAACCGCACACGACACGCAAACGACGACGTGACACGCGACTAGCGATAACTCGCTATTGACTCGACGCACACATTCAAAATCATGCTTCATCATACACACACTATTGTAAACATGAAATATATATTATTTCATGCCCTCATACCATTCCATGCACACACGCATGCACGCACACGGACAACAAGCCGAATGCAAACCGTAGGGTTGCACCAACAAGTGTGAGTGCATGAGAATGAAGGGAAGTAATACAACATATATCGAGGTCTTGGCGAGTGACGTTTACATCTGACAATACAACCACAGGGACATTGTATCAACTCAGCAATTGCAGGCCATTACATTGAGCACTCACGGTGCCAGCGAGCGCATATGCCACGACAAGGGGTGGCGATGCAAGGTAGTTGGCTCGAAGAAGAGGATTTTTTTATTTTTTTTTATTTTTTTTTTTTGTAATTGATATATACACCAAGTACAGCAGATGTATACAGCAATAACAGTCGTAACTGTGCGTGAGAGGCAGCTACGTGGCTACCCCAGATTGGCAACTATGGTGGTCTGTGATTGTTCCTCGGCAGCTGCCAGATGGCAGCAAACGCACTGTTCCACTTCCACTTCTTGCTGCTACTGTCCCTCAGTTTATCTACCAATCTTATCTCCTCCTCTCTTGCGCGCCGAAACGATCCCTTCTTGTCCGTAGCCACCCGCCTCCTTTGTACATCCTCCTTTGCCCGCATGTACACCCTTGCATGTTGCCGGATCGAAGAAGAGGATGAACATGGCCCTCAAAGTTATGGTTACCAGACATCACTGCTGCTGCCACCAAATCTGTTGAGAGAATAGCGGCGAGAGCGAAGGGAGTGCGCAAGGGAGATGGGGAACGGGGATGCAGGGAAGTTGGCTCGGGTGAAAGGATGCAGATGGCCCTCAAACTTGCAGTTTCCAGACAGCCCTGCTGCTACCACCAGATCTGTTATTGGGTGGTGAGAGGAAGAGGGGCAGAAGAGAGAGGCAACGGAAGGGATAGAGGAGAGACGGCTCGAGTGAGAAGATGTACGTGCCTTTTATTTTTCTTGTTATCGGTCAACGCTGATGCTGCAACAAGATCTGGTTATTTGAGGGGGAGGAGGAAAAGACAGAGGAAAAGGGAAGTAGGGCTGGTTCGAGTAAGGGGATGCTTGCAGTCCTCAAGCTTACGATTACACCACAGCGCCGCTGCCGCGACAAGATTTGATCATTCGTAGCGGAGGAGGAGGGATTGCCGTGAAGGGACAAAGGAAGCATGATGTGTGCACCGCCGGGTGAGACAGGAGAAAAAACGGGGAGTAATGCGAGAGAAGGAATACATTGGCTGTGTTAAGACAAAGAACCCTCTTTTCCCTCCGTTTATACAGAACAGACAGAACCTGCTACCACTACAGGGTATGCCATGCAACATACCATTGCCAGAAATGGCCTGTCCAATAGACTCTGAAATCCCTCCCGAGTTCCCAATGCACGTGGTGCACCCATGCTCCACCACGCGGAAGCCCTGACCCTCCAGAGCTGGCAGGAGACCACTGCACACATGGTGGGGAGAGAGGGGCAAATAGGATTGAGAGGAGGAAGGAAAGAGACAGAATGCACGTCAGACAGCCGTACCCCACCACGGAAACTTATGCCCTAGAGAGCCGGGAGGACACCACTGCAAAACAATTGCAAAGCAAGGGAGGTAGAACAAGAAACTGAACTATCCATGCCCAGCCCTCCCTCACCTGGCCCCAAGGTACTTGGTGGCGACGTTGCACCCAGGGAGGGGGCAGGCTCGCCTTCACATACGGCTTCCGCTAGAGCCCTCTCCCACTCACCTTCACCGCCACGACGGCTGCTGCCCGCCAGCATCACTGACGGACTGCACTAGCACCACCACCTCTTCCCTACCCCCACCTTGAGGAGTCTCACGCCCCCCCCACCCTCCCTGCCCGCCCCCACTCCTTCCTCCGCCTCTGCCCCTCCTGCTCGCCCAGCCACACCCAGGAAAATTGCTTCCCCTCCCGATGCTCCCACTGCTGCCACGGCAGCAGCAACAGAAACAAGGGTGGAAGTGAGAAGGGTTGAAGCAGCAGAGGCAGCAATGGCGGCAACAGCGGGGGCAAAGGCAGCAAAGGCAAAGGCGGCGGCGGAGCGCACGAAGTCGATTTGGCGGCGCATGACAGCCGTGCGCAGATAGGCGCCCACCTGCATGGGGAAAGCAGGAAGAAGAAACGGTGAGGGGCAGGTGAGAAGATAAAAGAAGATGCCACATAAGCAGCTGTAAGACAGTTTTAAACCATCACGAACACAGGATAGGCACTCAGGTGGAAAACCTACAGCAGCACAGCAGTGCAGGTGGAAAACCTACAGCAGCACAGCAGCGCAGGTGGAAAACCTACGGCAGCACAGCAGCGTTAGACTCCTTTACCTCAGCTCTAGTAGCGAACGGGCTAGTGCACAACCCAGAGAAATGCGAGGCATGGAGCGGGACGCGAGCAGAGCAAGAGCACCTGCCTCAAGGCGTGCCAGTCTGTGAGGATGGAGTGCGCCTCCTTGGCAGCCACGTGGGGCCTTCAGCAGGAGCAGCGGATTTCCTCCGTAAGCAGCTGGAGTGCATGGCAACACCTCTACTGCTGATAGCCACCATGAACCCACAAGTGGCATCACTGCTGCTCATCCGCTGCCTCTCACGACGTGTTTCTTACCCCAATGAGCTTCTTACCTTGGAGGAATGGCCGCGTTGGAAAGAAGCCCAGCTGGGTACACTGCTGGATGCCTGGGGGCTGCGACACCCCAAGGGGTATGAAGAATAGGCACGAATATGGGCGCAGGCCTCGCTACCCCTTCACTCGGAGGCCTCGGCTTGACAGACCCGACAGTAGAAGGCCCATACGGATTCCTCGCAAGCTATTGGCAGCAATGCAGGGACGCACCTGATGAAAGCCTCAAATGGAGCTCAGCAGGAAAGGCAGGAGCGCACATAGTTGGGAGGTTGAGTGCGTGCACTCCTGCATATTATCTCTCCCGTCCGAAGCACGTGACCTTCTGGAAGTCGAATCCACACAAACCTCACGCCCGCAGCACGCACTCCATGTCCAGGGGCAGCGGTATGCGGAGCAAGTGGAGTCAACAAGGGCAATGGCACTGAACCGAAATTCAGGGCACACGCAACGATTCATCTTGCTGTCGGGATACCGAGCAGGAGATTGGCTCCTCGCCATCCCAGTCAACCCTTCCCTATGCCACAACCCCGAGCATTTCGTGATGGCAGTACAGTTCCGACTGGGCTTCCCACTCTCGGCGCTGAAGAAGTATGACTGCAGGAATAGAACAGCAATCCTAGATAACCGGCTGCCGAAGAACCCGCTCTGATGTGGCACAGCGGGGAGACGCACTAACACCCACATTGAGCTCCGGGATGAGAGCATCCGGATGGCCCAGGACGTGCGCTTCACCGTCCACAAAGAATCCTCTGTGTTTTGCCCCGTCGACCAACACATGGCGCATTTGGCTATACGTGACTGCAGCACGGGAGCTGTTTGGATCTGTGACGTCACAATCACATACCCTATCAGCTCACGGGACCCTTATGCCTAGGAAATGGTGGGGCTGGGCTGGCAGGGAGATGGCAGCCAAGAAGTTCGACCATTACCGCAATCGCGCGGAGTACATCGGCTTCTTCCCGTTGGCTGGCAGTAGCGACATACGAATGCCCCTGTGCGGAGCCGCCAGATTTTCTCAAACTGTTGGTGGACACGGCAGCAAGGCGTACACTTCAACGCCGACCCTTTAACCACACACACACACAATGGATCCCCTGCCCAACCCACAACCGCAAAGGCATCAACCCGACGACACAGGCGTGCTTGCCAGAGCTGGGAGCCTGGCACGACGTGGCAGCCTACGACGGGCTGCCATGGCCCTTGAAGCCACACCAGTCTGCACACCGTCCCTGTCTGTACTGGAGGCTCTGCGCGCCAAACACCCACCTGCCCCCCCCCCCCCCCCACCTTACCGGACTGAACATTCCCTGAACCGCCCACCTGTCAGCGGCGTTCCCAATCATTTTCAAGGTGCTGGGGTGCTGCGAAAATGGAGTAGGAGCGGGTCCGTCAGGAACTACATTCAAGCACTTTCGCGATGCGGCCCTGGTCAACGCTGCAGTGGGAAAACATCTGCACGCTCTGGTAAACACAATAGCGATAGGAAACTTACCACCAACCCCTATTGAGTCGCCTCAGAGTCAACAGACGCACCTCAAATGCTGCTGTGAGGTCCCCAGAGGCGACGAGCCCCGTTGATACGTGGGGAGGGGAGGAGTGAGATAGGGTGCGAGGTGCTGCGCTGCTTTGCTGTTGTGAGGCCGGCCGCGTGTCCCAGCCCACCATGCCGCACTCCTCGTACTCCGCCACCACCGAGTTGAACGATGCTGCATCTGGCTGCACGCTCTGTGACTGGAAGAAGGTGGATGGCAGGTGGGGCAAGGGGAGGAGTAAGTAGGGAGCGGGATGGTTGGTTGCTCCTATGTGCACGGCACGTACCCCCCCCCCACACCTGAGTTGATGTTAAAGCTGATGGCGTCGAGGGTCACTCCCTCCCCTTCATGACGATGCCTGAACCCACGCCACTCACTAGCATGTGTCTCAGAAGTTCATGTGCGCGTTCAGGCATGCCCTATGCCGTGCACCCCTTAATGAGAATGAAGCTGAAGGCGTCGGGGGTAACGCCCAACCCCCCATGCCGTCCCCCAGAAGCCCCGCGTTGATCGCTGCGTTGATCGCCTCGTTGAAGGCTGCTGTGTCCGGACGCATGTGGGGGGCGCTCTGAGGACATTTTTTTTCCTGATGCATAGAACACAGTCAGCAGAGACAGAGGCAGCAGAGACAGAGGCAGCAGAGACAGAGGCAGCCCAGACGAGAGATTGGCACTGAGGGGCAGCTCGCACCTCGATGAGCCACAGCAGGTCCGAGCGGCATCGGCAGTGCTGGCCGAGGTGTAGGGGACAGTGCTGACGGCTCCTCGTATTAAACCCTATTTCACCGTCGCTTCCCCTCTCCTCCCCTCTGCCTCCTCCCACCCACCCACCCTCCCTCCCCGCCCCATGAACCCTACACTCCTCCCACCCTGCACCCTCCCACTCACCCCCCTCGCACACCCACTCTCCCCAGCCCGCATCTCCCTCTTGTCCCTCCCTCCCCTGCTCCTTCCCCTCGTGCTACACTTACATCACAGTCTCCCTGCTCCCTCTGCACCTGCTTCTTCCACCACAGATCCTCCTCGAACTCGTACCCTACACACCTCTCTGCACCGCTCTACCCATCTACAAGGGCCATCAGGGTTGCATGGGTCAGCCCATACTAGCCTATACTTGGCTGAAAACACATATGCCAAAAATAATTCGGAATGGCAGATATTGAAGAATCAGCTGCACACACTAGCCATGTTATTTTATTTGTTAGAGCAACAATCATCACGATACTTGTAGCAAACGTATGTACACAAAATAAATCCGAATCAATCAACGTGCAACAGACACTCCAAAGAACCCCTCGAATACTCGTGTCAACCACTCTTCCCCTTCAATTCCCGCCACCTCTCCTGCATCAATCAGAGTCGCAGCTCTGATCATATCTGCAGTCAAAAAACTGTAATACAGCGGGAATTTTGTGGGTGCTTGTGTGACAACCGCTAACTCCACCCCTCTCCCTCCTTGCTCCACATGCAGAAAACTACCCAAAAACGTCTTCTTGTTACCTATCGTCACCCGTAATGCCTTCTTCCCTCCTTTGTAACCCTCTAGAAAGAGAGTTTTGCTAGTCGGCAATCTGTGTGCACCCTCAACGCCCGGCATCCTCTCCGTAAGGTCATGCCGTTCCCCGACTTTTCGCTGTGCCAGACGCACTGTGTGGGGCGCGTTTTTGTTGATCTTTATCGTTAGAGGTAGGTAGTTAAGCTCAGAAGCTTCTTCAAGAGTCCTTCCCGTGTGGCACACTTGAAAGGCTTCAATCACATCACCCTTCTGCCACTCATCAAACCCCTCCACAAGCACATCACAACATGCGCCCGCCATAACAACCTGGTTGTGAGAATTTACACACCAATGAAAAAAGGGGTGGGGGGAAATAAACATATCCGGGTCTCAGAAAAACAAAGGCTTAATGACAAAAAATGAGTAATAGATAGTAACACACGTATATATTAACATACTCTGAAGCCTTTCATAACTTACTGCCCAAAGTTGGCTTTGTATCCCACCACTCCACCGTAAACCAGCAAAGCATTTTCCCAACAAATTGATTCCCATTACCATAGTGATAGGAATACTGGCACTTGGTCAATAATTATTGACCTTAGTTAGATTTGATGCCAGGGAGGCCTAAAGTCCAGCGTCAAAACGTACTGTTCTGACGCTGGACGTTGGACGTACGTTTTGCTCCTGGACGTTGGTTAATTTTTTTGGGCAGCCCGAAATTGGAAAAAATCCAACGGCCAAAACAACGGGAGAAGGACAGAGAGGAAGAGAAGGGGAAGGACAGGGGGGAAGGGGAGAAGGGAGAGAGGAGAGGCAAGGGGGAGAGAGGAAGGAGAAGGGGGAAGTTGTGAAGGGTGAGAACGGAGATGAGCCGGCGGGAAGAAGGGAGGGGAAGAAGGGGAGAGGGGGAAGGAGGAGGGGGAGCTGAGGAGCATGTTACGGTTGAGGCTGGGAAGAGCAGGCCAGCGCCTTCCCTACCCTCTTACCTTCTCTTCCCCCCCCCCCTCCCCCCCCCCCCAACAGCCCCACCCCCCCTGATTGTTTTGCTGCCCAAAGGGTTTTTTTTGCTGCCCGCCAGAGCGTCAAAATCACCGTCAAACTCTCGAAAGGTTCCGTCCAGCGTAAAAAACGTACCGTAAGAAACGCTGGCTCCGTCAAATCCAACTAAGTTTGACCATGGGCAATTGTTGACCGGCCCGACGCAACCCTTTTTTTTGCCGGTCGGTCACCCCTGCGGGTTATATGCCGCTGTCGGATCGGATTGGGTTATACTCACGTTGATTCGACCCAAAATTGACATCCCTTTCTTTTCAAAGGTTTGAAGAACTCAGCACGGTCCGAACTTGAGACTTATTGCACTTAGATATGAGCAACAGGCCCGACCCGATCCGACCCGAACCGATATCGCCGGGCTAGGCGAGTTTCCAGGCCGGGTCAGGCCGGGGCAGAGTTTTGGAAACGATGACTCAGCCCAAGGATACAAGGCCTGGTTTAACCCGACCCTCCTCTACTCCACCTCCATATCTTCGAACCCCTCCCACAAAGTCGACCATGCAATTCGCAACGACGTGGGTTGATTGAACCCACGTCCATGCTTGCACAAATCGCGAGCGTGCATTTCAAATTTGGAAAAATGCTTGTTGTGCAATTCCGCAACTTTCCGCAAATTCACATTTGTTTTCGGTCGGGCTGCCCCCAAACCAAGTCGTCCAGTATATAGTGTATTCCTTAATGTTTAGCGTATGTGGCAACTTAGCACCCATATAAGGTCCTAAGTTGGAAAAGTCGCGCCCAGCGCACTATACGCAAGTGTATAGTACGGTATGCGCTGGATGAGTGATTTTGGAAGTCACAAAACGTATGCTGCCAGAGCAGCAATAGTTTTCCGGGCAGTGCAAACAAACCTCTGTTGGACAGGGTGGGGGGGGGGGGGGGGGGAGGGGTCGTACCATACCTATACACTCAGATTTTCGTTTTTGGGTTTTTTGTTTTTCAAAACAAAGAACTTACTTCCTGTTCCTTCCTCCTCCACTCCACGTTCATCCTCCAGCTCCTCGTCCTCCCCCTCCTCCTCCTCCTCCTCCACACCCTCGTACCCTTTCGGGAGGGGGGGGTCAGGGATGTTCCCAGGAAGAACCGCCACCCCTTCATCCCCCTTGTGCCAGTTGCGCACAATGGTCCAATCGTACGCAACGAACACGAGGTCTTGACACTTCTCGAGCCCCAACTTGTTGCGCCGGGCAGTGTGGACACTTCTCGAACCCCACACTGCCCAGTTCCTCTCACACGCCGCGGCAGACGCCGGTTGAGAGAGGACGCGGCAGGCGAGTGTTGTCAGTTCAGGGTGGTCCCTCCCGTGCCACGTCCACCACTGCACGGCCGTCTTCCTACTCCGTCACGAGCTGACGGTCTGAGATGGCGTCCGGGAGGCCAAAGCACCCTTGAAGGGTGTTGAAAGCGGTCAAGCCGTCCTAGGTGACATGGGATGCACGCATCTCCTCGCCATCCTTGCGCGTGACGGTCCGACCCCCGAAGTGGCGGGACGTACGCTTTGAAGACGCGCGTACACTTCAGGTCGGATCTGAAGCTGCCTTCCTCTTGGTTGACCGGGTTGAGGATCCAACCAACCACGTGCATAAGACACGCCATGCTATGGTCCCAACGCCTCCGCACGATCGTGCTCACCACCCCTGCTTGTTCTCCTCTGGACAGCACCAAACCCCCCTCCTCAAGCTTCTCATTGATGTCCTCCGTAAGTTGGAGCATCAATTCATAGATTTTGCCCATCATCCCCTTAACAGTCAAATCGGTGGCTCGCATGACGCCAAACGAAATCTTCATCAGCTCGACGAAATACTCCGCCCCTTTCCACCACACGGCATCCATGATCTGGCCTTGGAAAACCTTGGCCGCCTCCTTTCTCGTCCCCTTCACCCAATTCTGCCACTACGGGCTCAGCACCATCTGCACCAGTGCCAGCCGCACCTCACACAGCCACGACACTGCCATGAATTGGGTGCCCGCCGGCCGAAGCACCTGCTTCCCCTTCCCCCCGTTCACCTGCGAGCTTCTCAGGTAACCTCGGGTGAAATGGTGAGTGCGCACAAAAGTAATAATCGGCCCCTCTTTATCCACGATATCCCTCGCCCACCCCATCCGCCCAATGTCCTCCATGAGCAGGTCCATGACGTGCGTAGCGCACGGGACATGCTCAATGTGAGGATACTCCTTCCTTCATGACTTCCTTACATGCAGCCGCATAATTGCCCCCCCGTCCATGCAGAGTGCAACTATGTTCTCAAGGCCCACCTTCTCAATGTACCCTCCCGTCTTTGTCGATGCTTTCGGTGAAAACAGCACCAGAATCGTTGATGAGCAGCGATTTTTGTCCGTTATCATGTCCGTAGCTACGACCACGCCATCCCGCTAGCGATGGGAGCAAGGCCTTGCTCAATCCGTTCGCGGCAGTGCGCAAGGCCGGCGCCACTAACATATCGCCGCTTTGGCGAAACGTAGCCATGCCCCGCCCTCGCGATTCAGCGCACAGTGTAGCGCCAGAGAGGGTGATCAGCGTGATGCTCCGGGAGGCAAAGTGCCGCCCACAGGAGGCAGATGGACTCATCTGCCGCTCTTCGCACAAGACACCGCATCCCCGAAGAAGATGCGTTGTTTCTTCGATCCTCCAGAAACCGCCTTGATCGCCATCTCCTCCGCCTTCTTCTTCCCTTCTCAGACGGCGTGTTTGCCTCTACAAATTGTGAATGCCGGCGCGGTTAGCAGCAGGAATAGGCGCCTTGCAACGCAGGCCGTCCTTCCTCTTCAGGCCTTTCACGCGCGCGATGTGCTGCGCGCAACGGAAAGCACCGCCAACGAATTGAAGCTTACAGCGCCTGAAAATGCGACTAGTACGGTCAGTTCCCATCGAGGCATCGTCGGTAGAGATGTGGAAATGCTTAAAGATAACAGGGTGCTTTCAGGAAGATCATAGTCTGCCATGGTCGCATCATTCGACGCACTAGGAACCTCCCTACTGGCACTTGCGGGAGTGCCAGTAGGACTCGACATCAGGTTGTGCTGAGCTGAGAACTTGAGTGTTGAGAGAGAATGAACGAGGAGAATGTTATGAAAGTTGACGGGTATGAACTTACCTTATAGTTCACGATGACTGCCTTGACAGGTTGTCTGGTTGAAGACATTTGTGATTGTGTGTTGAGAGGAGTCGCACGATAACATAGGGTGCAATGCGGTTCAATCTTTCCCACGTCCCCCAATTTGTGTGTTGTGGTTGACAAATTGAGTCGCGTCGCTCCTTCGCAATTCGTGCGTGACTTTTTTCGTTTTCTCATGTCAGCCCAAACATTTTCGAGCGAACATACGTGCGTATTGCGTACACCGTACATTCATGACGTATATACAGTGTACGCTTCCCATCCAGGCGACTTTCCAACTTAGATAAGGTTATCATACCTCCTCATTTCTTCTCCTTTGCTGCAGCGATGTGAGGGTACCGGAAAACATCCTGCTCCTTCCTCTAGTCACCACCACACCACATCCCGTAACGAGCTTGCCTTCCGTCACCATGACCATCCACCTTCCCTCAACCGGGCATAAGCACAAGAATGGGCCATCTCTAATTCTACAGCTACTTTTGAGTCGAATTGGTGCTGGTTTGTTTCGAGCCACCAATTCGACTGGTCTACGCTTACTTGCCCGGACCTTCGACATGGAACCTACGAGACCGGGAAACTTGGAGGATGTGATTAGTCGCTAGCGTTGGAACACAAGTGTCTCAATGCTAGAACCTCTCTAGTAATCAGGTCAAATGCTTGTCCAGACAGGCAAAAAAAAAGTTTCTCGGGCGGGTACCTAGGGTTAGTTTCACTGTACAGTAGTGCTGAAACGCAAAAGACAACAACTATTGAACATGGATTTGGACAAAATCGAGAAACTTCATGGCTGTCTTAGACATGATAAACCGGACTGGTTTTGATCAAACAGGCCGAAAACGGTCACCAAATCGAATACGAGATGAAGCGCTGTCGGCAAAGAAAATGATGCGCAATGATTTGTGAGTCTGGTTTAAGGCAAAGCGCAAAACTGTGACTGCGCTCAATGAAGTACTAACCAAGACCGTTCCCTAGCGCTCATTACCATACTGAATTTACAACACCCAGCTTCCCCCTTTCCACCACCCCCCCTTTTACTGGTGGCACGATATAGTCTAGTATCCCCTCCCAGCAGTAGCTTTGTTGGGCAACCATCTATAGCCACCAGCTGACCACACTGCTCATGCCTAGTGTACTGGACTGTGCATACGGTTTCTGTGTGAGCTGCAGAGATATATCAAATTACGTCCCCCTATTAAGGAGAAAACGAAGCGAGTAAAACGCGCTTTGCTACTAGATTTTAAAAAAAACGGGCAAGGCAAAAAAACTAGCAAACATGGTTAAGAACCGAGTTGGGAACAAGACAGAAATGACGAAGACACATTCTCGTCGACTCACCTCGTTACTAGCCAATTTCAGTCAAAACCGGGTCAAGATTTAAACGCCTCAAACCTTGTTCATCTTTACCGGCACGGTCGCAGGTTTGAACCAAAATGGTTCTCGTTCGGTTCAAACCATTTCTGGTTCGACTAGCCATGGAGCCCTAAACACACAAAATATATGATTACGAAACATTTCTCTTGCTGCACCATGATCATGCGTACCTGCAGGAGTTCTTCCATTGCCAAGCGAGCACCATTGACCAAGGCAGGAATCTCCGTGAAATCTCGCACATCCACCCCTTTCTCAACCGCTTTTCTCTTCGCCTCATCTGTCACGCTGACATTGAAACCCAGCACCAATGCGTCGTGCGCAGCAGCCACATCAATGTCACTCTCTGACACAATATCGGAGCCCTCCTGGCAAGATTGAATAAAAAGCGTTCAATTCAAGGTCACAATGGATTGGTTTAGGGAGATGAGGAATGAACAATTCGTGTCCTGGAAGAATAATAACAAAGGGGGTTAAAAGAAGTGAAAGATAAATGAGAGAGCACGAAAGGTGATACGGAAAAATCAATGCGTGGAAAAGAGTGAGCAACAGGAGAGTGGAGAGAAGTGAGGGTGGTTGGAGAAGGGCGAAACTCAACACCCTAAACCCACATTCAGTTTGCGGTCGCAATGTCATCGCGCAGTTGTGTTGGACGAGTATAGGAGAGCGAGCGGTTAGAGAGGGGTGGGAGGGGAAGGGCGAAAACTCAACACCCTGAACCCACCTTTGGTCCGCAGTCGCAAGGCCTGCGCGCAGTTGTGTTGCACGAGCACCAGGAGAGCGGAGCGGAGCGGGAAGGGGGGGGGGGGTGTTGTTAGGGGAAGGGCGAAAACTCTAACAAAAACCATCTCACCACTAGCCGGATGCGCAAATACACCGAATCTTGTGGTAGATTTCCAAGATCATCTTGAATCTCCTTCACTGCACCCTGGAAGGGAGTGAAATGGTGCACGGAAAGGGTAAGATTGAGGCATGAAAGATCACCGATGCACGCTTGTGCATGTGGCTATGTGGTTGTCTTTGAACCAACTTCCAATGCACATTTGCGCATGTGGGTCTGTGGCTGACTAAAAGACAACCTCCGATGCACGTATGCTAATACAACCTATACGCCTTGCCCTTCATTTTTAAACCTCCCATCATACCCATACGGTGGTTCCACTTAAACAAAAGACACTATAACTCTTGTTTTTCCTCATTTTCCATCAATTAAATGAAGTCTTTAGAACATTGTTACTTGCACGTTTTTCAACATGCAAGAGGATATTGATTATCTTCCAGTAGCTTTCGCATGCCCATTCCCTATATGTGCTTGCCAGATACTTGCCTGATCATTAATCTTGAGAAGAACATTCAGGGGAAGGAGATTACGATCACCCCTTTCTCCATCAGTTGCAGGCCCACTCCCATCCGAAGAAGGCGAAGGAACCCAGCTCGTCACGGCCACCAGCTTGTCGCGCGCCTCTACAACAGATCCAGTCTCTTGCACGCGTGCTGCAGCTGCTGGACCTCTGCGACGACTGACCTGAGGCTGAGCATTTGAAACCTGATTGGTCTGGTGCGACTGAGCCTTAAGAAAAATCAGTCACGGCCCAGAGAAACGGAGCATGGGGAAGGGAGAGAAGGGGTATGGAGAGAAATGTTCCTATTGTTTTTAAGGTGTGGAATGCTGATTATAACTGCCATATGCAATCTGAGAAGGCAGTGTACGCTCACTTGTGGATAAGCACATGCTGGGCTGGGCTGAGTATGGCCCTGGTCTGCGACTCAAGGATGGTTCGGGCCACAACTCTTATCTTTGTTGGCCCGAAGCAAGTCGACCTCCCGGACCCCCACTGGACAGAGCAGTGGCCAATGGTCATGTGGTTGAGTTGGCCGCGACGAAGTTGAGGCAGAAAACCTCACCACGCTCATACTCACCACGCTCATACTCACCACGATCATACTCACCACGCTCATACTCACCACGCTCATACTCACCACGCCCATACTCACCACGCTCATACTCACCACGCTCATACTCACCACGCCCATACTCACCACGCCCATACTCACCACGCTCATACTCACCACGCTCATACTCACCACGCTCATACTCACCACGCTCATACTCACCACGCTCATACTCACCACGCCCATACTCACCACGCTCATACTCACCACGCTCATACTCACCACGCTCATACTCACCACGCTCATACTCACCACGCCCATACTCACCACGCTCATACTCACCACGCTCATACTCACCACGCTCATACTCACCACGCTCATACTCACCACGCTCATACTCACCACGCTCATACTCACCACGCTCATACTCACCACGCTCATACTCAGGACTCTCGACTTCACCACACACTCACAGGAGTTCGCACAGCTCTAGGCCTCAAGATTCGTTGCTCCTGCTGGCACTCCTGCTGCATCCCCTGCTGCCGCTCCCGTTTATGTTGCCGCTCCCGTGTATCCTGCTGTTGCTGCACCTGCTGCTGCTGCTCCAGCTGCTGTTGATGCACCTGCTGCTGCTGCTCCAGCTGCTCTTGCTGCTGCTGCTGCCCCTGTTGCTCCTCCTGCTCCTCCTCCTGCAGCTGCAACCCTAAGCTCGCACCCTCATCAACTCGCTCAGCCACAAGCTTCAGCTGCTCTTGCTGCTGCTGCTGCCCCTGTTGCTCCTCCTGCTCCTCCTCCTGCAGCTGCAACCCTAAGCTCGCACCCTCGTCAACTCGCTCAGCCACAAGCTCCAGCTGCTCTTGCTGCTGCTGCTGCCCCTGTTGCTCCTCCTGATCCTACGGGATCCAACAAGCAGAAACACAGGATGGGCATTCAGAACGGGATTTAACAAGCAGAAACAAGGGGATTGGCAGGAGCTGCCACAGAGCTGGCCTGACCGGAAGAACCCGCCTGCGACCGGCGGAACGCAGCCTCGAACACGCCTGGGAGAGCCCTGAGGACGTCAGCTGAGGAGGACGACTGGCGGCGTCTCCCGCTGCGACCGAGACCTCCCCTATTGCCATGCCGGCCGCGACTCGCCGCAGCCCGTGCCCCTGCGGGGATGTGTGACGGCTCGAGCCGTGCTCGGGCGATCGGCGCGGACATGACTGCGCAAGAGACGCAGAGCACGGAGAACGACACTCACGCATGATGCTCGGAGGATCGGCGGCCTGGGGAACGGCGCGCAGGCGAATCGCGCCGAGGAGAGCGACTGCGTTGGCCATGCGGCGCAACTTCCGCGGTGCGGGCAGGTGGCCCATCGCGCGCAGACCTACCTTGGGGAGGTGGCGCCACCAAACCCCCGTCTTGGGGACAAGGCGGGATCGGCACAAGCGCATACATCCGAGCGGGTTCGGATTATGCAGATCGAGGAGGAGGCCGCTGCGCGCCGCAGGTCCGGGATTCATCACCACGGACGAGAGGGCAATTGACGCCAGTGGCAGCGCAAGTGGCGCGTCAAGTCAAGCAGCGACCTCGGGGAACGCGTGAGCACTGCGGCAAGGTCGAGGGTCCGCGGGATGCGGACCCGGACGAGGACGGCGTGTAGAAACGCAAGGAAACGGAACGGACAACATCTTCCAGAGAGCCGTTGCTGAAGAGGAATATAGAGCCCCTCATATACCAGCTCAGAGTAGTGGAGGGCAAGATCCATCACAGGAAGATGAACCACGACGGATCTGGCCAACGCACTAAATAGTATCACCCGCCAGGCTATAGTCTCAGCCCTTGAGAAATCTACACTCAGGGCGCTTTTGCCCCTAGAGTGCCTGTCCTATGGCCAGCCGTCGTCCCTGCTGCACTGCACCTTGATGCCAAATACGAAAGCCCACCTTCTGTTCGTAGCGGGCATCCACCCGGCGCTGAAAGCAACAGCAGAGGCCCATCCGTCTGTGCTCTGCCTCGCCTACGCCGATGCTGTGACATTCATCCGCGAGCCTTCACCGGCAGCAGCAGCTTCCAAACACTTCACTGACAGGGTGGTGACACTGGGGCTGGGGCTAGACAAGACTACAACCCCGCCAAGTGTGCTGCACGGAGCTGCACACGCCCACCCACAAAAACCTTACCTGATAGGGTCCCCTTCCGCGAGGAGGGAGTGCGGATGCTGGGCAGCAGCATCGGCACAAGGAGAGGCGCTGCTAACTTCCTTAACGAGCAGCTGAAGGCCTTTGCACTGCTCTCCCGGACTGACCGACAGCTGGCGTCCTTATTGTTACTGCTCGCCCGCTTCTTCTTGCGTCGAGCATCTTACACGGACAACCCCCCTCCATCTCTTACCACGGGAGGAGTGATCACAGCGGGGACGGGAGCTGCTGCCGGCTCTACTCACAGCGTGGCATCCGCCTCCTCCACGGCGATGCAGAACAGACGCGCATATGGAAGCAAGCTCTAATCCCGCCCTCCCTTGAGCGGTGGGAATCTCGGACCCTACGGTGGAAGGGGTACAGCTTCCTGGCAGTTTCTCACAGGCGGAACGCTTACTCACCTCCATGCCGCTGCTGCCAGATGGACCCCTAGCACGAGTTCAGCATCAGATGCCAGGGCCGCAGGCTAACCTGACCCGCTCCACGCCTGGCTCCAAGAGTGTGAACAAGCCCTACCTGCCTGCAGTGCAGACACACGGGAGCTACTACAGAAGGAGAGGCTGGAGCCGTCAGGGAAGAACTGCAACATGCACCAACACTGAGCGTACAAGGGAACAGATTCGCAGATCAGGTCGAGGCGTCCCGGAGAATGCCGTCGATACTTACAAGTGCTGTTTGGATTTGGGGCGTCACACTCCCAGCTCCTCACGCTTCTAGACGCCTGCAATGTGCACCACCCGAGAGGAATGGCAGAGGAGCAGCGTGTATGGGAACAAGCATCGCTACCGCCATCCTCTGGGACCGGGCCTGACGGACCCCTCGGTCGAAGGCAGATATAGTTTCCTCGCCGGTTTTGTGCAAGCAATGAACCTCCTCGGCTCCCTACCAGGCCTCGTGGGCTACCACCTGACTGGCACCTTGGCACGGCCTGCTGTCAGCACAGAACATCACCTGCTGCAGAGATGGCTCCTTGAATACGAGGCCTCATTGGGCGAGGAGGCCAGGGGGCTGCTGGCTGCAGAACGGACCGCCCCAGACAAGCGGCGGTTCAACGCTGCCCCAAAGTCGAGGGAGGTCGCCAAGCTACTTACCGAGTACCGGCAGCGATGGAGCGTGACCCTGCAGAGAGCCCAAGCCAACGCCCTCAGGGATAAGACCCATGAGGCTCTTACCGCGGATGTGCTAGGGCTGCAGGGCCCATTGACTCCACTCAGCGAGGGCCAGCTGTACCAACTGCTAGAAGACCCCTCCGGCCACTAGGGCCGGAAGGGAAGGGGCGGCTGTAGTTGTGTTAGGCTAGTAGATTGCTGCTGTAGCTTTGTTGTGTGTGGTTTATGGCCTTACCATGTGTGTACCTTGGTGATATTAATACGAGGGACCGTTCGAGAGAGACTTACAGCTCCCCTGCAGCCTACGTGGAGCTCGTCCCCCTCGCCGTTGAGACTTACGAGTGCCCCTGCGCGGAAGTTCCCAAGTTCTTGAAGCTCCTGGCTCACACGGCGGCACGTAAGCTCTTCAATGCCGACCCCACAACCTACCAGGAGGAATCGAGTGAGACGCGAGCAGAGCAAGAGCACCTGCCTCAAGGCGCACACTCACATCTTCCACCACCTCTCTCTGCTCCTCCAATGTCCTCTTCATTTTTTCCTTCTTCTGCCTCCACTTGTCGCTCGAACTCTGCAGCTGCGCATTTAACTGCTCCACCTCCCTGCTCAACCGCTCGACCATGTGCTTGCGCTCCTCTGCCAACAACCCCTGCGACTCCGCCAGCTTACACAACTGCAGGAAGGGAAAGATGAAGGCAGTTAGGTGAAAGATCAGGTATGTTAGAGAGGTGGCGAGAGGGGACAATGTTAGAGGGTAGGTGGGAGGGGGGTGAGTGAGTGGGAAGCTGTTGAGAAGGGAGCAGATGAAGAAGTAAAGAGGTGTGTGCCACTTACCAGTCTCTCATTCTTCTCAGCCGTTACTCGCTGCTCCTCCAACTGACATTGCAACTCATCAACCCTCGCTTGAACCTGGTAAATGCAACAACCAAACAGGTGAGTGTGGGGCAAGTATGAGGAGGGTAAGTGAGAAGGGGGTAGGTGAGAAGTGGGTAGGTGAGAAGGGGGTAGGTGAGGGATGGGCAAGTGAGAAGGAAGCAGTTTAGGGCCAACGAGCATTGACGCCAAGCCAACCACCCGTCTGATGGCGTCCTAGGCTACCGCACTGCAACTTCATAATTTCAGGAGAAAATGAGGCAAAAGAAGTGAATAAGCACTTCACATCAGCAAGCACACGCACGCATGCTATCAGCGCAATGTCTCTAAAAGCAAACGCGCCACGCCAATCAATCAACGTGACGATGCGAGTACAAACATTGTGGCACACCTCATAATGTTTATCGCAGACTCCTAGAAATGCCCCTTCAGCAAACACCGCCCGATTGGTGAGTCTAACTCTCTCGTTGTAGTCGGCTATTAGCACCCTGTCCAACTTCTTGGCCTTGTTGCCTCCCTCTTTCAACCAATCTGACAGTCCTTCCTCTGCCTTATAATCTGACAGGTGCGAAGGAAAAATAGTGGATGGAGGTGAGACAGTGCTTGTTCCATATGCAACTCCCCTCCTCATGCCACCCCACTCCACGCAACCCCCTTCCACATGCCACTCCCACACTCCCATCCGCCTACCACATACCTCGGTCAGCATCTATCAGCTTGTCTAGTGTCTCGTTGTCCGCCATATTTGCCTCTATTTGCTTCTTCTGCTGGTCTAGCCATGTCAAAAAATCTTCCGAATCGGACGCTGGGAAGAGGGCAGACACAGAGTACTTAACTCACAGCTGAAATCATGAAAAAATACCGTTCATAGAAGCTACATGAACAGTCCATAATTCGAGAAAGGGGCGAAATGTAAATGAAGAGGGGGAGCATGGAGTGTGTGCCAAAGGGAAGGAAAGGGGAGGGGGGGATGAGGCTGCGGTTATGGCTCGCCGTGCCAAAGAGCAAGAGGAGCTGCAGGCACAGTGCACTGTGCCAGAATGACAGTGAGGGTTGAGGGTACTGTGAGCAATGACAAAATGACAGTGAGGGTTGAGGGTACTGTGAGAAATGACAAAATGACAGTGAGGGTTGAGGGTACTGTGAGCAATGACACAATGACTGGGGGGGACTGAGGCTACGTTGGCAGATACGAGTATCACGTTTTATACGCCAGCGCATTATACGCTGGGTATATACGCGGTACGCCAGGGGTGGCGTACTGGTGATACGTAAAAATACGCTGGGCGGGCAGGTAAAACTTTTTTTCCCGGGCAGAGCTAAAAAAACCTGTTACAGGGGGGGGGGGGGGGGTTATGTTTCCCAAAAACACATGTCATAATTTAATTTCATAAATATCCAAAAATACATCTTCGAGGCTACTTCTCCCCACCCCCCATACATCCCCACCCCACCCTCTAGCTAGCTTCCCCACAGCCGAGTTCCTTGCGGGGCTTTTCCAACACCACCCCTGCCCCATACTCATCCGCCAGAACTGCATCCTCTCCTTCCCCCCCCAGCAGGTCATCCTCCTCCTCCTCGTCCATGTTGTAGCCGCGAGGGATAGGGGCATCCGGGATGTTACCGGGGACAACCGTGCTGCCCCCATCCTTCTTGTACCAATTGCGCACAACGTTCCAGTTGTGCGCAATGTAGACGAGGTCCGCACACTTGGCGGACCCAAGCCGGTTGCGGCGGGCGGTGTGGACGCCTTCCCACTGTGCCCAGCCACGTTCGCATGGGGAAGCCGAGACGGGCTGAGTGAGCACCCGGCATGCGAGGGTGGCAAGCTCAGGGTACTCGGTGCTGTGCCACGACCACCACTGCACCATGCTCATCTCCCCCTTCTTCACTGCCTCCCTTGCAGAGATGGCGGCCGGCGTGCCAAAGCTGCCCTCCATGTTGATGTAGGCCAGCAATGCCTCCTGCAGAACAAGGGAGGCGCGGCGAGGGGCGCCATCCTTGCCACGCCTGAAGGTTTTGTTGTCGTAGTGGCGCTCGATGTAGGCCTTGAACACTCGAGTGCACTCCACGTCGTTCCTGAAAATTCCCTCCACCTGGTTGGCCGGATTCAGGATCCGGCCAACCACATGCATGGGGCAGGCAAGTGAGTTGTCCCACCTGTCCTTCACAATCTTGGTGATATCAGCCTTTTCCGCCCTTGTCAAATAGTCCCCTGCCTCGTCCAACTTGTCATTGATGTCCTCGGTAAGTTGTAGCATGATATCATGCATCTTACCCATCATCCCCTTCGCCGAGGAGTCCGTGGCCCGCATGGCCTTGTACGGCACCGCCATGAGAGAGGTAAAAAACACCGCCAGCCCCCACCACTCCTCATCCATCACGGCAGCCCTGAACTTCTCGGCTGCAGTCTTCCTGTCCTTGTCTGCCACTGCCCACTCATTCCACTCGTCGCTGAGAACCATCTGCGCCAGCCCACCCCGCACCTCGCACAGCCGGGACAGAGCTATGTACTGCGTCCCGAACCTGGTCCCCGCGGGCTTGAGCACCTGTTTCCCCCCACCCTTCTTCATGTAAGCACGGGTGAAGTGGTGGTTGCGCACAAAGGTAATCATCATCCCCCCCTTCTCCACGAGCCCCTTCGCCCATCCCATCTTGCCCACGTCTTCCATCATCAGGTCCAGGACATGCGTGGCACATGGCACATGCTCAATGTGCGGCCATGTGCTCGCAATCTTCTTGGCTGCCGAGGCATAGTTGCTGCCGCCATCAGTGCAGACCGCCACCACATTCTCCGGCCCCACCTTATCAATGACGGGGCGGAGAAGGCTGGCGATGTACCCCCCGGTCTTCGACTCCATGTTGCAGTCCACCGCCTGCTCGAACACTGCGCCTGAGTCGTTGACAAGGAGCACGTTGGCCTGCGGGCGGCCACAACGGTCAGTCATCATGTCCGACGACACGGTGACCCCGTCCCGCTTCCAGCTGGCGGCAACGGGGGCGAGCGCCTCCTCCATTTTCTGCCGCACCTTCTTCAAGCCCGCCCCTCCAATGTAGCGCCTGTTGGGGGGGACGTACCCCGGTCCAGCGCGCGCAAAGCACTGGACCGCGTAGCGGAAGACCGGGTCATCCGCGATGCGCTCGGGAAGTCTTAACGCCGCGATCAAAAGGCAGAGGGCGTTATCCGCGTCCTCCTTGGCGCTCGTCGCCTCATCGCTGAAGAAGGACGTTATCTTCCCCTTCTTCTCTAAAGAACCAGTGACCGCGCCCAGCGCGGAGTCAATTGCTGCAGCGGCCGCCCCTCGTTTGACGCCCTGCTTCTCCACCTTCTCCTCGTACATGCCGCGCACTTCTTCACTGACTGCCGCGGACACCTTCTTGCAAAGCCGGACAGCGTGTTTCTCCTGCCCTTTCCATTTCGCAAGGTGAATCGCGCAGCGATTGGTTCCGCCCTCAAACGTGAAGTCACAGAACTTACACATCTTGGGAGTGCCTTTAGTATGGTACGGAATAAGAAAATGTTTCAGAATGGGGTTCGAAAGGCCAGCCTCGACAGGCTCCGTATTGATTGCGCCATTAGACGCGTTAACAGATCCAACATTGCTCGTCGCAGTAGGAGGGGTGGAGTTAGACGCCATGAGGACGAACGGGAGAAGAGAGCTACGGGAATAAAAACGAGCACCGCAATTGAATGAAACAAAGGAACTCGTCATCCATTATATGAGGAGACGAGTTGCTGAACAACATTTGAGAGGGATGGTTGGAGATGAGAGGTTTGGTGGGGTGGTGTGTGGTTGGGGGGTTGGAAGGTTTGGAACTCGAATTTTGAATTTCAGAACTGGGTTGGGCGATGTGCGACTTCGCGGTAACAAATCGCGAAGTCGCAAAACCTTCGCGAAATTTTTCAATGTCGTTTTTTTTTTTTGACGGTCTGCCCGGGCGTATTTCCAAGAAATACGAGCGTATTGGCGTACCACGTACATACGCCAGCGTATGTACGTGGTACGCAACCCTGCTCAGGGCGTATCTGCCAACGTAGGACTGAGGGTAGTGTGAGCAATGACAGAATGACAGGGGGGAACTGAGGGTATTGTGAGCAATGACAAAATGACAGTGAGGGTTGAGGGTACTGTGAGAAATGACAAAATGACAGTGAGGGTTGAGGGTACTGTGAGCAATGACAAAATGACTGCGGGGGACTGAGGGTAGTGTGAGCAATGACAGAATGACAGGGGGGAACTGAGGGTATTGTGAGCAATGACAAAATGACAGTGAGGGTTGAGGGTACTGTGAGCAATGACAAAATGACAGTGAGGGTTGAGGGTACTGTGAGCAATGACAAAATGACAGTGAGGGTTGAGGGTATTGTGAGCAATGACAAAATGACAGTGAGGGTAGAGGGTACTGTGAGCAATGACAAAATGACAGCGAGGGTTGAGGGTACTGTGAGAAATGACAATATGACAGTGAGGGTTAAGGGTACTGTGAGCAATGACAAAATGACTGGAGGGGACTGAGGGTAGTGTGAGCAATGACAGAATGACAGGGGGGAACTGAGGGTATTGTGAGCAATGACAAAATGACAGTGAGGGTTGAGGGTACTGTGAGCAATGACAAAATGACAGTGAGGGTTGAGGGTACTGTGAGCAATGACAAAATGACTGGGGGGGACTGAGGGTATTGTGAGAAATGACAGAATGACTGGGGGGGACTGAGGGTAGTGTGAGCAATGACAGAATGACAGGGGGGGACTGAGGGTATTGTGAGCAATGACAGAATGACAGGGGGGGACTGAGGGTATTGTGAGCAATGACAAAATGACTGGGGGGGACTGAGGGTATTGTGAGCAATGACAGAATGACTGGGGGGACTGAGGGTATTGTGAGCAATGACAGAATGACTGGGGGGGACTGAGGGTATTGTGAGCAATGACAGAATGACTGGGGGGGACTGAGGGTAGTGCGAGCAATGACAGAATGACTGGGGGGGACTGAGGGTATTGTGAGCAATGACAGAATGACTGGGGGGGACTGAGGGTATTGTGAGCAATGACAGAATGACTGGGGGGGACTGAGGGTATTGTGAGCAATGACAGAATGACTGGGGGGGACTGAGGGTATTGTGAGCAATGACAGAATGACAGGGGGGGACTGAGGGTATTGTGAGCAATGACAGAATGACAGGGGGGGACTGAGGGTATTGTGAGCAATCTGCAAATGCCAGATGCAGTGCGGGCACAGTGAGCCGTGACAAAATGACTGGGGGGCATGAGGGAGGTGGCGCACTCACCACGTGAGTTGCTGCTGGTGCTACTTCTTCTGCGGGCGCTGACACTGCTAATGACAAATATGCTCTCCTCACTCGTGCTGCTGTTGACGAAGGTGCCATCCCCCTCGTCATGCCCCTCGTGGGCTACAGCAGCAGCAGTAGCTGAATGTGCAGCTGAATGTTCCCCGCCCCCGCCTCCATCCCCTCCGTGTACGCCTGGTGGGAGGAGAGAGGGGCATGGAGGTGAATGGCATGGAAAAGGAGGACAGCACCCGCGCTTTCATAATCCATCTCCACCGTGTATGTCTGAGGGAGGTGAGGGGTATGGGAAGGCGGGCATGGGGGTGAGTGGCGTGGGAAGAATGACAGCACAGTGGGGAACGCATGAGGGGAGAGAAAGCATCTCCGCCTGCAGATCCTCCGTGCACGCCCTGGTCATTGGGAGGAGGGAAGAGGGAGGAGGAAGGGGCGGACAGAACGGAGGTGAAGGGTGGGAAAACATCTCCGCGTGCAGATCCTCCGTGCACACTTGGTTTAGGAGGGAGGGTCTCAACACTTCAAATGAGCGGCAGCAGTGGCACGCTCAAACACCTTGTGGGAGTGACGTGACAAAGCTGAAGCAGCAGCAGCAGTGGCGCTGAGGTATGAGAAAATGACAGGGCCGTTGAGGGAAAGGCGCACTTACCATGTGGGAGTGGGTGAGGGTCTGCCGTTGAGCTGCTGGCTGCAGGGGACTGGCGGTTGGAGCTGTCGGCGTTGCTGGAGCTGCTGACCGCGTTGCCGGTGCTGCTGCTGGCGTCGCCGGTGCTGCTGCTGGCAGGAGTGCCGTGCGTGCCGTGCTCCCCCTCATCCCTAGTGGGAAGAGCGGGGGTACTTCCGCCTCCAGCTCCGCCTTCGCCTCCACACCCTGTGGGGGGTTTGAAGGGGGAGTGGCGAGGTTGAGGGGGTCAGGGTGAGGGACAAGGTGATGTGTGCGGGTAAAGCAAGGCTTTAAGCCGCTCACCCTCATGCTTGACATCAACGGCACTGACAGCCACGACAGGTTGGTTGGCAGCAGTTGGGGAACGGAGAAGTTCCTTCCTACCCACATTCCCCTACCTTGCACTCTCACATTCCCCTACCCTTCACTCTCACATTCCCCAACCCTGCACTCTCACATTCCCCTACTCCAGACTCTCACAGTCCACTACCCTGCACTCTCACATCCCCCTCCCCTTCACTCTCACATGCCCCAACCCTTCACTTTCACATTCCCTTACCCTGCACTCTCACATTCCCCTACCCTTCAGCTCATTCGTGCCTTTCCCCATTGATTTTATAGCAACTGTAGCAGCTACAACAGCAGTCCCCACAGCCATGCAGTGCAGTTTGAGACGACGCAAAATACATCACAGCTGACACTCGCCATCTCACCTTCACCTGATGGCAGCCCCCCCTCGCTCTGCGCGTTCCGCTGAATCATCGCCCCTCCCTGCTCGAGCAGCCGCAGCTCCACCTGCTGTTGCAATCTAAAAAAGGCCGCCTGGATCTGGTTTGTGAAATGAGGACAGGTGGGAGCGGAGGAGGTGAGAGGGAGCAGGGAGAGGGGCAGATAGGGGGTTAAAAATTTAGTGAGCGGAGCAGGTGAGAGGGAGAGCGGAGCAGGTGACAGGGGAGAGCGGATCAGGTGAGAGGGAGCAGGGGAGAGAGGGGCAGATAGGGGGTTAAAAATGATGTTGTGTGCTTTTCATCAACAAAGGTGCCCCTCCCGTGCAACACACACCCCTCCCGTGCAACACACACCCCTCCCGTGCAACACACACCCCTCCCGTACAACACACACCCCTCCCGTGCAACACACACCCCTCCCGTGCAACACACACCCCTCCCGTGCAACACACACCCCTCCCGTGCAACACACACCCCTCCCGTGCAACACACACCCCTCCCGTGCAACACACACCCCTCCCGTGCAACACACACCCCTTCCCGTGCAACACGCACCCCTCCCGTGCAACACACACCCCTCCCGTGCAACACACACCCCTCCCGTGCAACACACACCCCTTCCCGTGCAACACGCACCCCTCCCGTGCAACACACACACCTCCCATGCCACACATACCCCTCCCATGCCACACATACCCCTCCCATGCCACACACACACCTCCCATGCCACACATACCCCTCCCATGCCACACATACCCCTCCCATGCCACACATACCCCTCCCATGCCACACATACCCCTCCCATGCCACACATACCCCTCCCATGCCACACATACCCCTCCCATGCCACACACACCCCTCCCATGCCACACATACCCCTCCCATGCCACACATACCCCTCCCATGCCACACACACACCTCCCATGCCACACATACCCCTCCCATGCCACACACACCCCTCCCATGCCACACACACCCCTCCCATGCCACACATACCCCTCCCATGCCACACATACCCCTCCCATGCCACACATACCTCCTCGAAATTGATCCGGACTTCCTCAAAGTCATCCGCAGCAAAGTCCTCGTATACCTTCGGCGGGATGGGGCAGGCTTGAAGTAGAGCATTCAAGTGCTCCTCACCGTCTATTCTTTGGTAGTCTGTAAGATGAGGGAGGAACATAGTAGAAGGAGAGGAGAAAGAACTCATTTCCATAAGCCACTCCTCTTCCCATACCACCCCAATCAACACCCGCTACCCCCTCCCACATGCCCCACTCCCATCCCCTTGCCACTTCCTTCCCCATGCCACCCCCCCCTACCCTCCCTTCCCTTCCATACCACTCCTCTCTCCATGCCACCCCGTTCACCACTCCCCTCCCCTTCAGACATACTTGAAAGAGCCATTAGAAGGCCCTTCAGGCTCTCAACGTTCGACCGACTTTCCATTATTTGATCCCAATGGCCGACAATCCATGAACGAAAATTCTCCCAGTCGAACGCTGTAAATCGAGCAGACACGGAGGGGTTAAAAAAAACGGATGAAACCATGAAACAGGTATGTCCTTAGAAGCCACGAACGGCCCATAGCTAGAGAAAGGGTCGAAAATATAAATGCAAAAGGGAGGGGGCATGGAGCACCGTGTCAAAGGGAGGGGAGGGGAGGGGGTGCGGGGGGAACGGGGTGTGCGGGGGGAACGGGGTGTGCGGGGGGAACGGGGTGTGCTGGGGGGGGAGGGGGGGGGGTGTGGCCACGGCTCGCCGTGCCAAAGGGCAGGGGGGGCTGTACGCACGGTGCACCGTGCCAAAGTGACAGATGGGGCTGAGGGCAAGGCAAGTGAGCTGTGGGAAAACGACTAAGGGGGCTGAGGGCACAGTGAGCAGCAGCAGTGGCGCGTTCACTCACCTCGTGGGAGTGTCTTGACAAAGCTGAAGCAGCAGCAGCAGCAGCAGTGGCGCGTTCACTCCGCGTGCAGATCCTCCGTGCACACTTGGTTTAGGAGGGAGGGTCTCAACACTTCAAATGAGCGGCAGCAGTGGCACGCTCACTCACATTGTGGGAGTGACGTGACAAAGCTGAAGCAGCAGCAGCAGTGGCGCTGAGGTATGAGAAAATGACAGGGCCGCTGAGGGAAAGGCGCACTTACCATGTGGGAGTGGGTGTGGGTCTGCCGTCGAGCTGGTGATTGCAAGGGACTGGCGGTTGGAGCTGTCGGCGTTGCTGGAGCTGCTGACCGCGTTGCCGGTGCTGCTGCTGGCGTCGCCGGTGCTGCTGCTGGCAGGAGTGCCGTGCGTGCCGTGCTCCCCCTCATCCCTAGTGGGAAGAGCGGGGGTACTTCCGCCTCCAGCTCCGCCTTCGCCTCCACACCCTGTGGGGGGTTTGAAGGGGGAGTGGCGAGGTTGAGGGGGTCAGGGTGAGGGACAAGGTGAGGCCTGCAGATCCGTGCACGCCTGCAGATCCGTGCACGCCTGCAGATCCGTGCACGCCTGCAGTTCCGTGCACGCCTGCAGATCCGTGCACGCCTGCTGTCATGCTTTTATACTTAGTATAGATATAATAAGATAGGTGCATGACATTGTGAAGGAGCATAATAGACTGTAGAGAAGTAAGGGGGAAAAGGGGAATGCTCGAGCGGGAACACAAAGCGAGCCGTGCGAAAGCACCGTTGCTCGGCAACGGTAACCACCGCTCACAATTACTTAAGCAGTAGCGCAAGTAGGGGATCTTTGCTTGCGAGTTTGTTTTCACACTAAGCTACAATTCAGGCTGGCGAAACCCCTAGCACCTAGCACGAGTGGAGCCAATCCTAGCAAGCACAATCTGAGCCAAGGAAGAGCAGTGAGTCTGCCGAGCTCAGCCCCCAGTGGAAGCAATCTCCTCTCAGAGAGTAGAGGAGCTTTTAACAAACTCGCAAGCAAAAGCTAGCGTAAGAAGCAATGACCGACGAGTTTCGACTCAACTCTAGACTGAGTTACGCCAGAGAAAGCCAGCAAGCAACGCCCAGCTGGAGAGCGCAACCGAGGGTAGTGACGACGGGCGACGGACAGACCGCCGATCGCCAAAGCCCGCGGCTAACTCCCCTGTCGTATCGCACCCCGCACCAGAGAGCGCGAGAAGGAGTACGCGAAATGGAGGAGAAGCGACACATTAGTTCGGATCCAGGAGGAACCCCGATCAACCCGCAATGGGCGAGCGAAGCAAGAGCGCGGTGGGAGACCAGATACGAAACCCGGTCGCCGAGGACGATGCCGGGAATGAGAAGGCAAGCCGGGGAAAAGAAGGAGGAGTGGGCTCAGCGGAACGACAGCGGGGGACAGCTGACCCCGCGAGACCGCGTGCTGATGGAAAGCAGAGTCGCGATCCTGACTGACGCACGGCCTCGCCCAGAATCTCCCAAGGCACATCGCTGGACCACCGCCGGACTGCCCAAGATCGAAGTCGCCGAGCGATTCACAGGAATTCCAGGAGTGGGACCGTCGCTGAAAAACTACCTTATGCAGCTGGAGACGGTCAAGTACTGTTGGGAGAGAGACGGCATGGATCCCGGTGAGTTCTTCAGACGCATGGTGGTGACGCTCTCGGGAGAAGCGGAGACCTACTATCGGATGGTGCGTCAGGAGATACTGGAGGAAGCAGAATGCCAAGAAATAGAGAACCCGACGGCGAGGTTCCTAGAGATGCTGAAAAAAGAGTTCCTGGGGCAAACCAAATCGCGAGTAGAGGAGTTCCGCGAGTTCCGCCGGAAGAAGGACGAGTCCCTGCTCGCGTACTACTGCCGGCTGAAAGAGTTGGCCGACGACCTGGAGTGTAAGGAGGAGAGACTGCTGGTGCGCAAGTTCGTGCGCGGATTGGACGAGGAGCTGAAGGGGGTGGTGCGCAACAACGTGTACGGAATTGGAGCTGACATTACACTGAAGGAGGTGTATGGGTTGGCGAAGAGGACAGAACATGCGCAACGCCTGCTTGACCTCGAGGACGGAGAGACGCGGACGAAGCCCAAAACGACCTGGGCGGCAGCCGCGATGCTGGAGCCAGAGCTAGCCGCGGTGAGCCGCCCAGACAGCAGGAGATGCCACGAATGCGGAGACGCGGGACACCTGAAGCGGGATTGCCCGAAAGCTCCCACCTGCGAGAATTGCGGAAAGCGGGGGCACAAAAGGGCGGAGTGCTACAGCAGGAAGAGAGAAGAGGGGCCGGAGACAAGGGAAGGGCTGCAAGCAGAGATCAAGCGGTTGCAGCTGAAGCTGGAAGGAAGGGGGATCTCCACGCACAAGGAGAGAGCCATGCTGGCATACGAGGAAGTGGAGGGAGTAGAGGAGGAAGAGGAAGAATACATCAAGGAGTACTCCTGCATGGCTGGCCAGCCAGCGAGCGAGCCCGGGCAAGAGGGGTGCACTACAGATGGTACCAGGACCAGCTGCAGAAAAACACTAAGGACGGGTGGAAGCTGGTGCCAAGGAGAGAAGAAAGAGAGCAGATAATAGCCAAGGTGCATCGGACGCTGGGGCACTATGGAAGTCTGAGGACCAGCCAGCTGGTAGAGACCGGGTGGTGGTGGGCGGGAATGCGGAGAGAGATAAAAGAGTGGGTAGATTCATGCGAGCTGTGTAGCAGGAACAAGGCAGAGCTGGAGAGAGGAAGAGAGGAGTTGCAGTCACTTCCCATACGAGGACTAGGGTTTCGATGGTCGCTAGATTTGGCAGGAGAGATGCCGCTGAGCCGCAGAGGGAAGCGGTACATACTCATCATGATAGAACACGGGAGCAAGTGGGTGGAGGTCAAGGCGTTACCCAGTAAGAACTCGGCGAAGATAGCAGAGGCGTTCGAGGAGCAAGTCCTCACCAGATTCGGCGCATGCGGAGAAGTCCTGACCGACCAAGGGACCGAATTCCTAGGAGAGTTCGAGAAGCTACTACAGGCGACAGGAATCACGCACCGAAGGACATCCCGCTACCACCCCCAGAGCGATGGGCTGACAGAGAGGTTTGTCCAGACTATGAAGAGGGGACTGCGGGCCTACGGAGAGAAATTCAAGCGAGACTGGGATGCACGACTGCCCTGGGTAGCTGCAGGATACCGGTTCAGTAAACAGGCAGCTCTGAAGGACGTGTCCCCATACTACCTACTGCTGGGGAGAGAGCCCATACTGCCAGTAGACGCACCGAAGCTGCTGACAGGAACCGTGACAGTGGCATCAGCGGAGAGTTGGGTGGGGCTGGCAGAGGCACGGGCCAGGTACCTAAGAGAACTGCTACCTGCAGCGCTAGAGAACTTGCACGTGGCTCAGCTCAGAGACGCGCAGCGATACAAGAAGAGGAGGGAGGGACAGGGAGCCGCTAAGGAAAAGCAGCTGGGAATAGGGGAGGAGGTATATCTGAAGCAAGCGAGGCACGACATGATGGACATAGGCCTCAGCAACGAGCGCTGGAAGGTCAAGGAAGTGAAAGAGTCAGGAGTGGTAGTGCTGGTGAGCGAGGGAGGCAGGGAGAAGAAAGACCATCAGACCAACGTGGCACGAGCCCGACCAAGGCGGGGAGCTAAGGAAGACGGTGCAGGAACGGCAGAAGAAAGAATCCAGCAGCCAGGAGTAGAAGGAGTCCATCGGCTTGCGGCAGGAGCTAGGCAGCCGAGGAGGGGGCAAGTGCAGGATGCAGGTGGCAAGGCAAGGCAGGTACCCAGAGAGCTGAGGGCACTAATGCAGTGACGAGGAAGGTTGCAGAAGAGAGACAACACCCCAGCATCAGGAGCACAGGAGGCAGGGCCAACAGGAGGCAAGGCCGGGCAACCTGAAGCAAGACAGAGAGAGATTCCGACAGCTGTCATGCTTTTATACTTAGTATAGATATAATAAGATAGGTGCATGACATTGTGAAGGAGCATAATAGACTGTAGAGAAGTAAGGGGGAAAAGGGGAATGCTCGAGCGGGAACACAAAGCGAGCCGTGCGAAAGCACCGTGGCAAGATGCAGGTGGCAAGGCAAGGCAGGTACCCAGAGAGCTGAGGGCACTAATGCAGTGACGAGGAAGGTTGCAGAAGAGAGACAACACCCCAGCATCAGGAGCACAGGAGGCAGGGCCAACAGGAGGCAAGGCCGGGCAACCTGAAGCAAGACAGAGAGAGATTCCGACACTGCAGATCCATGCACGCCTGCAGATCCGTGCACGCCTGCAGATCCGTGCACGCCTGCAGATCCGTGCACGCCTGCAGATCCGTGCACGCCTGCAGTTCCGTGCACGCCTGCAGTTCCGTGCACGCCTGCAGTTCCGTGCACGCCTGCAGATTCGATGCACCAATGAATTCGAAACACGCATGTCCATTCGCATCTCGTAGTGCGATAAGAAACTCACCGATCTGCAGCGCAGATCGCGCTGCTGCATCGGAGTCGTCCATCTTTGATCTCGCAGTCCACTTGCAGAAAGTTGGTTAAAAACTCCTACTAAGTCGTCTCCGATTGGCGGAATGCGACGGATCCGCGTGTTAATGCGTGTGCTATGGTCTTCGAAAATTAGTTGAAAGGAAGCATGACCCTGGGAAAAGAGGAGAATCTGAGAAAGCCGGCTTACTCTCGCGTGGTATGCTAACTTTGAGTCGAGAATGTGCTGAGAATGTGTTGTGTGCTGTGGCGTGGTGCAAGCGTGCTTGCGAGTTGGCATACTAATTCCAAGGGAGGTCCACATTGTGAATCGTTGCGAACCAATCAAGTTGAATCTAATAAGAGAGAGCTAATCCGGAGAGCGGAGCGCGCGTTGAGCTGGCGTCCTGGTGTGTTAGCTTGCTAACTCCAAGGTGGGACCTTCGTGAATCTGGGGAGCGTGGCGAAACGGATGGGATGCAATCAAGGGAGCTGATCGTACACGATTCAAGTGGTGGTACATTTGGGAGTGTGTAGTTTCGATTTCTACGTTTCGGCAATGAAAATTGAACCCTGGGAAAGTTCACTTTTTGCTCACTGTTTGATTTAAAGCGTTTCAGTGCGTTTCTGCGCAATCGGAAGCGGTTGTTTCACCTCTCGAACCATCAACGAACAAATCCCGTGACCCACCACAAGGAAGGAGAGGGCTGACCTAGTCTGCCTGGAAAACGACTAAAGCAAGCAATCATGGCTAATCAAGGCGTCAGTGTTGTGCATGCGCGTGCTCCCGCGCGCTCCGCGCGCATGCAGGAGCGAAGGCCGCGAAGTAGTGGGAGGCAACGCCGCTGCTTCAGTAGCGGGCGCGAGAGGGTGGATGCACGAGGAGCGGAGTGGGAGGGCCCTCGCAACGGAGTCAGGATGAGCCAGGATGGAGTTAAAAGCGCCGCGATCCGATTAGTTTCTCACACCGCTCTTCCCGTCCCTCTCTCACGCTCTCATTCCGCGCGAAATCACAGACAAGGCGCGGGCGAGGGACGGACAGACGAGGCACCGCCGCGCGCGGTGGTATAAGACCAGATACGGAAAGCAAGTTCTTCGCGACTGTAATTTGCTGTGCGCGCGGTGCGCGCGGAAGTGCGCGCGGAGGAGCGCGCGGCGCTGCCCTTCGCTGCGACGAAGGGCGCGCGGTCGTCAGGTGAGGTGGACGAGGGAGGAGGGAAGGGCACGGTGGGGAGGGGGAAGGTGGTGGGGGGAAGGTCGCGGCGCTGTCCTTCGCCGCGACGAACGACGCGCGGTCGTCAGGTGAGGTGGGCGGGGGTGCGGGGAGGGTATGGTGCAGTGGGGAGGGGGGAGGTGGTGGGGGGAGGGCGAAGTGGGGAGGGGGGAGGTGGACGGGGGAGGGCGAAGTGGGGAGGGGGGAGGGCGCAGTGGGGAGGGGGGAGGTGGTGGGGGGAGGGCGCAGTGGGGAGGGGGGAGGTGGTGGGCAGAGGGCGCAGTGGGGAGAAGGGAAGGTGGGAGGGGAGGGCGCAGTGGGGAGGGTGGAGGGTCGGGGAGCGGAGGGCGCAGTGAGGACGGGGGAGGGTGGGGAGGGGAAGGCGCAGTGGGAAGGGGGAAGGTCGCGGCGCTGCCCGTCGCCGCGTCAGACGTGGGTGCATGTTTGCCCTCGCCCCCACACCTCTCCGCTTATCCGCCACCATCCCCCCTTCCTGCCCACCACATCCTCTCTGCCCGCTCTCTCCTGCCAGCTTTCCCCCACCCGCTTCCCCGTCTCTATCCGCCCTATCTGCCACCCTTCACCTCCCCTCTCCCCGCATTGTCCGACCCTGGCTCTCGCCAGAGCGGCAGCAGCACGCACAAGATGCGGCGTGCCATGGGGCTTGTGCAACCAGGGCAAGCTGGGGGGAAGCAGGGCAGGGCGTGGGGGCAAGCAGGGTGTGGGTCAAGCTCCCTTCCCGCAGACCCCTACCCCCTCCCTCGTCCCAGTCACTCTATGAGGCTGGGTACGCCTCGTCCCTCCCAGGGGGTGCTGGTGGGCAGGGAAGTGAGGGAATTCTTGTCCAAATCACCCCCTTCCCCTCCCCCTCCACTCCCCCTCACCTTCCCCTTGGGCCCCCTTCCCCCGTCCCCTTCCACTCCCAGGGGGCATGCCCGGCACGGCATGATCGCCGTGACTCGGCCGAGGAGAGAGGCAGTGCTGGCGACGGCCAAGCGTGAGTTTCGAAACGCCTTAAAAACCGCTCACCCCTCCGTTTCTTCCTCCCTCCTTCCTCTCTTCCACCCTCCCCTTTCCCCTCCCCCCCCAATTCCCCTCCCCTCCCCCCCCCCCCTCCCTCCCCCTCCCCTCCCCCCTCTTCCCCTCCCCCCTCTCCTCCCCTTCCCCCTGCGCTGCGTCTTTCAAGGCGCCTCAGAAGGTGGGGACAGTGGTGGGCAGCGTTGCTCTCCGCCGCCGCGGATGAGGCGCGAGCGGCATGCTCGTGTGCTGCCTGACTCATCCGCGCGGAGGTGCGCGCGGAGGTGTGCGCGGAGGGCAGCAATGGTGCAAGGCAGCACTGGTGCAGGGCAGCACTGGTGCAGGGCAGCACTGGTGCAGCTGCGGCTGTGGCGGCGCGAAGGGTGAGAAGACGGGGGGAGGCGACGGCGCTGCCGCAGCTGCTGGCTCGAGAGGGGGGATGCGTGAGGAGTGGAATTGGAAGGCTTGCGTGATGCCGTGAGGAGAAAAATCCGATGCGATCGCATCGTCCCATCCCTCTCGCACTCCCCCCATACGCCACTCACGCCTCTTCCGTGCCGGTGGTGTTGCGAGCGCCGACGGTGGAGTGCGGCAGCATTCCCAAAGCAGGGTCGACCCACCCATGATGCCCAACAGGTGTGGTGGATGAGAGGGTATGGGGAGGGAAGGGGAGCAGTGGACGAGATAAGAGAGGAGGAGATGATTGACCTTGCTGCACTTCTCCCCATTTGCACTTCCCGCATCTCCCCTCCCCATCTCCCCTCCCCATCTCCCCTCCCCATCTTCCCTTGCCCATCTCCCCTCCCCATCTCCCCTCCCCATCTCCCCTCCCCATCTCCCCTCCCCATCTCCCCTCCCCATCTCCCCTCCCCATCTCCTCTCCCCATCTCCCCTCCCCATCTCCCCTCCCCATCTCCCCTCCCCATCTCCCCTCCCCCTCTCCCCTCCCCATCTCCCCTCCCCATCTCCCCTCCCCATCTCCCCTCCCCATCTCCCCTCCCCATCTCCCCTCCCCATCTTCCCTTGCCCATCTTCCCTCCCCATCTCCCCATTTTCGCCTTCTCCCCCCTCCACCCTCTCCGCTTGCCCATCCGCCTGCGCCCCCGCAAGTGGCGGTGGCAGCTGCAGAGCAAGAGGCACGGCGTCCCCATGCACACCCCCACGCTGCACTCGCTCACGCGCTCCCACCTCACTCGCTGCACTCGCTCACGCGCTCCCACCTCACTCGCTGCACTCGCTCACGCGCTCCCACCTCACTCGCTGCACTCGCTCATGCAATTTCGCTGGGCGATGTGCCCACATGTGCGCTGAGCGATGTGCCCACATGTGCGCCGAGCGATGTGCCCACCACAGTGTGCTGAGAGCACATGTGGGGGCATATGTGGGGCACAGCGCAGGTGAGCACATTTCCTTCGCAGCATATTTCCTTTGGCACTTGTTTCTCTCTCTACCCCCCACCATTAGTTCCGAATCTCCCACCGCTGCAAATTTCGCGCCACCCCCACTCTTCATACTTCTCCCGCTGGCCTGTGAGCCGTTAACAGAGAATCTGTAGTACTCGTCTTGTCCCCTCTGCCATGCTATCGCCCGTGTGCTCATACCATCTCTCACTACACTTCATCTCATCCCCCCTCACTCCTCTTACCCTCCCTCGCTCACCCCCATCCTCCCTCAAATGTCTTGCATCGTCCCCCCACTCTCCTGTTTTTTCACTCACCTCCCCTTCACTCATCCGTGCTCTCGCTCTCTCATCCTAATTGTACCTCATTCACCCCCATCCTCACATCACAGGCTGACGAGGCAGAGGAGGATGCCGGGTAAGCTTCAAAAAGGCCTTCACGATGAAGAGGAGCAAGGTTCACACGATCTTGTGCGGCAGCCATGATCCATCCACCCACTCTCCTCCTGCACTTTGCTCACCACCAGCCCCCCTCCCTCCATCACACGCCAACTCACCCACTCGCCCACCTAAGTCATCCCCACCCCGCAGAGTCCCTCCCTCCCTCACTTAAGTCATCCCCGCCCCGCAGAGTCCCTCCCTCCCTCACTTAAGTCATCCCCGCCCCGCAGAGTCCCTCCCTCCCTCACTTAAGTCATCCCCGCCCCGCAGAGTCCCTCCCTCCCTCACTTAATTGATCCCCTGCCCTGCTGCGCCGCGTGCGATCCCACAGGGTGTTTCAAATCCACCACCACAGCTTGCCCCACCACAGCTTGCCCCACCACAGCTTGCCCCACCACAGCTTGCCCCACCACAGCTTGCCCCACCACAGCTTGCCCCACCACAGCTTGCCCCACCACAGCTTGCCCCACCACAGCTTGCCCCACCACAGCTTGCCCCACCACAGCTTGCCCCACCACAGCTTGCCCCACCACAGCTTGCCCCACCACAGCTTGCCCCACCACAGCTTGCCCCACCACAGCTTGCCCCACCACAGCTTGCCCCACCACAGCTTGCCCCACCACAGCTTGCCCCACCACAGCTTGGTTGATAGTCACACCACACCTCTGACGTACAGCTTGGCAGTGCCAGTGGAACCCTAAGTCGCCTCTCATACCGCAGTGGCAGATTGAAGTGGCAGGGTGGGGCGGGATGGGGAGAAAATAAAGGAGTGCAACCGCAGAATCTATACGGGACCGTACCTAGTTGTGCTACAGCCTACAGGCGACCAACCAAACCTATACGGTAGTCTGTGAGCATCTTGAAGTGTGTGTTGAGATGTTTGCATCTCAAGGTATGCATTCTGAGATGTAAAGTTGAGGTATCCTTACGAAAATCTGCATCGTGTTACTACTATGCATTGCGCATGCTATTCATCATGCAATCAGGCATCTAGCATAGTTTTGTCCATGCATCCTGCCAGAAAGCATGATACTGCAGCTGAGGGATACGTTTCGAAATTTTATACATGAGCAACTACCGGTAGTGCATGCTTTCACTTCAATGTTATTCAATTTGGCATGGCTGGGTATGACATTCCCCTCTCCCTCCTCCCACCAATTCATCCTACAGCAGTCATGCGATGAGACATTTGGCCTTCAAAACGGTACTGTAGGCATCCCGTGCATGCTCTCTCGCTTGCTCTCATTCTCCGGTCAATGCAAGCTCTGCCTACCAGGCCCTACGATATCAGGAATTTTTCCCTGAAATTCCTGATTTTCAGCCTAGTTTTGTGTACCTACACTGATTTTTCAGTGTTGAGATTTTTGTGACACTGATTTTTTCAGCCTTTACTTCATAGCTAACACTGATGTTTCAGACTTTTATCGAAGTGTACACTGAATGCACATTCCTAATCCTTCCCGTGAAACACCCGAACGATTGAGTCAACCAACATTTCTAAATAAACAAGTATGAAATAACAAGAGACACATGCTGACGGGATGAGTTGTCTCAGTGGTTAGCGAAATTTGTACAGAATGGTAAGGTTACCGGTTCGAATCTTCCAGCCGTACAATTGATAATGGATTCTCTCTTGTACAAATTCAGGTTCTTATTTTTAGTAACCCTGAAAATTCAGGTTTTTTTTTCTAGGAGCCCTGAAAATTCAGGCTTTTTTTCACAGGGACCCTGATGCATCAACGTCCCTAAAAGTGAATCTGAGGGCCTGCTGCCTACATGTGATGGATGCAATACGCATGTCAGTGCCACGCTCACAACAACTCCAGCAGTCATGGCAGCTGCCCTGCCGCTTCTGACTCTGCAATCTTGGCAATGTCAATTGCAATGATGTTTCAATTCAACAGTCGTCTTTGCAATCTGATTCTGTCAACCAATTGCTCTGTGATACGGTACCTGCGCAGATCAGGTCATGTGCACACAGGTTGTTGGCAAGCAATGCAATAGCTATTGCCATTTGGCTTTGGAGGATTAGTTGGACATGTGTATTCTTAGCAACAGCTGCAAAGTCACACTTGGGAGTTTGCTAGACAGCTGAGCGGCTGAGCTGAGCCAACCCGTACCGTAGTCTCAACTTGTTGCACTGACACACACACCTCTCTTTGAATACATTTTTACCGTCCAAGAATGCTTCCAGCCTTCCTTCCAGTCCAAGGTTCTCACGCTTGCTACAAACTAATTCTGGATTGGACAATATATTCAGCTAAACTAAACACTGTGCCTGTTCTCCAATGTCCAAGCGAAACCAAGTGGCGAGTGTCCCCTATGTCCCTATGGCCCCCTTGTCACCCCTATTGGGCCGTTAATATGGCCTGCTGCCAGTAGCAACCTTCACAGTGTGAGGCTGAGATGTGCATAGGTGTGAAGCGGTTGAGTGGAGGTGTGACGTGGTTGAGGGGACGTGGCGCACCGAGCGAGCGAGACCAGCCAGATCAGGCGCTCCCCTTGTCACTACGGCCTTGACTTGGACCGTTGAAGTGCCCCGCTGCCAGCAGCACCCTTCACAGTGTGAGGCCGCGGCGATGTGTGCATGTGTGAAGCGGTAGAGAGCAGGTGTGGCGCATCCAACGATACTAGGCAGTGAGACCAGCATCCCATGTCACCATGGCCCTGACCTGGACCGCTGCAGTGACTTGCTGCTAGTAGCATCCTTCCCACCCGCTGCTGCTGCTGCACCTGGCAAAGGCGTGCGAGGCTGAGACGGTCTGTGCAGGTGTGAAGCGGTTGAGAGGGGTTGTATTGGCAGACTGGACGGTCCGGCTGGTGGTGGTGGTGGTAGGAGAGTGAGTGGCGTGCCTGCTGCCGCTGCTGCTGATGGTGCGGCTGCTGCCGTTGCTGGTGCTGCTGGTGCTGGTGTTGGGGCTGCTGCCGATAAGGAAGTAGGCGTGGCTGCTGGCTGCAGGGCATGGGAGGTGATGGAAGAAAGACAAGGACGAACTGGATAGAGGTGAGAAGAAGCGGGTACAAGAGAGGAAAGACGAACGAGGGCATCATGGGAGGGTGGGTGGGGAGAGGGGGAAGAGAAGGGATTATGTCGGAGAAGGAGAATGCAAGCGACAGACCTCTGTGTGACACACCTCTGTGTGACAGAACTCTCTGTCAACTTTTGAAACAGCCCTGCTGAGTGACAGTGACAGCGAAGACAACACTTATCGAGGCATGTCGCACTTTGTTCAGTCACCAAGTGGGTGTTGACTCACCACGTGCAGGTGCGGGTGCGTGTGGCTGTGCTTCTGCAGCAGCAGCAGCTGTGGACTCACCGCATCACTGTTGACTCACCGCGCGCGCGTGCGTGTGGGACTGCAGCAGCAGCAGCAGTGCACTCACACATGACTGCTGACTCCCCATTTGCGAGTGTGACTGCAGCAGCAGCCGCAGCTGTCCACTCAACCAAACGTGACTGTTGAGTCACCGCGTGCATGTGCGTCTGCAGCAGCAGCAGCTGTGGACTCACCACATTGGGGTGCGCGTGGGTCTGCGACTGCAGCATCAGCAGCTGGGCGCGCAGCTGTTCGTTCTCCTCCTTCAGCTGCGCCACCTCCGCCTCCAGCTCCACTGTGTACGCCTGGAGGGGTGGGAAGGGGGCATGGGAAGAGGATCATGTGGCTCGGCTTCAGGGCACCTTCGCATTCAGGCTCCACTGCGTATGCCTGAGGCGGGGTTAAGGAGAGGGGAAGGGCTGGGCGCGCAGCTGTTCGTTCTCCTCCTTCAGCTGCGCCACCTCTGCCTCCAACTCCACAGTGTACGCCTGAAAAGGGGGGGAAGTGGGGGCATGTGGTGACAAGGGGAAGGGGCTGAGGGGGAGGGGGAGGGCTCTCCTCCTTCAACTGCGCCACCTCCGCCTCCAGCTCCACTGTGTACGCCTGATGGGGGGTGGGGGGGGGCGAGAGGGTGGGGGACAGCACCAAGAGGGGGATGGGATGCGCGTGTACGCTTGGTGGGGTGGGGTTGCGCAGCTGCTCATCCTCCTCCTTCAGCTGCGCCACCTCTGCCTCCAGCTCCACTGTGCATGCCTGGAGGGTGGAAAGGGGGGGTATGGCATGTGGTGACAGGGGGAAGGGGGAGGGTTCTCCTCCTTCAACTGCGCCACCTTCGCCTCCAACTCCACTGTGCATGCCTGAAAGGAAGGGGGGAAGTGGGGGCAGGCAACATGGGGGTGAGGGGTATGGGGAGGAGGACAGCACCTCTACCATGTTTTGTGGTGTGGTGTGGTGCGGTGTGGTGTGGTGAGGTGAGGTGAGCTAAGGGGGTGGTGGGAAAGGAAGGGCAGCATGGCATGTGGTTAGGAGAGAGAGCAACCGCAGACACCACTCGCCCTGACACCTCAACCTTCCTGCTCTCACCTGACGACCTCCCCTCACCGCACCTCACCTCACCCACCTCCCCTCACCGCACCCCTCCTGCCCCAAAACCGAGCACCAAACTCTCTGTTATCATCTGCTTCTGCCTTACTCTCACAGTCTCAATATTCTTCACGCAGTGTGGCAGAAAATCAAAACACGACAACAAGAAAACGCTTCCTCACCTCACCTCACCTCACCGCACCTCATCGCACCTTACCTCACCACACCACACCTCACCTGTTTCTTCGCCCGTAACTGAGCAGCCGACTCTCTGTTCTTGTTCATCCTCTTCTGCCTTCTCTCACAGTCTCAAGAGACTTCACTCAGTGGGGCAGAGCAGCGAAACACCACAATAAGAAAACGCTCCCTCACCGCAACTTACCTCACCTGTTTCTTCGCCTGCGACCGAGCAGCCGACTCTCTGTACTTGATCAACCTAAAAGCTTCCTTGCTACACCCCACCTCACTGCACCTCACCGTACCTGTTTCCTCGCCCGGGACCGAGCGGCCGACTCTCTATTCTTGATCATCCGCTTCTGCCTCCTCTCCACCGGCGCCCCTCCCCCCTCCCCACTCCGCTTCCTCCCCCTCCGCCCCGCACTCCCCCCACGCCCCCGCTCAAAGTGTCCCCATCCCCACTCCCCCCGCCTGTGTCCGACTGCCCCCCTCCCCCTCCGCCGTCACTGCCCCCCCACCTCTCTCCCCCACCCCCCACCCCATCCGCCGCCACCATGCCCGCCCCAGCAAGTCCCCCCTGGCCCCCTGCGCCCATGCCTGCACCCATGCCTGCGCCCATGCCTGCGCCCATGCCTGCGCCCATGCCTGCGCCCACACCTGCGCCCGCACCATACGTAGTTGGCGCCATCCCCCCACCCATCCCCATGCCTCCGCCCACGCCCATCCCCATGGCAAGCCCAGCAGGGGGGGCTCCCAACGACCCCATTGCTCCCTGCACTCCCAGTGACCCCAGCAACCCCCCTCCTTGCGGCCCCAATGCTCCCAGTGAGCTCCCCCCCAGTGCTCCCAGCGACCCGAGGGCGTTGAGGGCAGCAGCGGCGGCGGCAGCGTGGCGTGTGGCGGCGAAGACAGATGCCACGTTACTGTGCCCTGCGTCTTCCACTGCTGCTGCTGCCATCTTCACCACCGCCTGCTGCTGCTGCTGCATCGCCTGCTCGCCTCCCCCTCCCTTGTCTCCGCCCTGTCCCCCCTGCTGCCCCTGCCCCTGCCCGTGCTGCAAATTCTGCTGCTGCTGTTGATTCTGGGAGTGAAGCTGATATCTGTGAAGCTGTAAGGGTGACTGCTCTGCCTGCGCTGCTTGCGCTGCCTGCCCTGCCTGCCTGCATGCATGCGGGTGGAGCGACCACTCTGTTCCCCCTGCTATTGCTTTTGAATCATGTGCCACGTCAGCACTGCTGCCATTCGCCCCCATGCTCCCCAGCCGCTCATCTGCACCCCCTGCTTGCACCCCTTCTCCTCCCCCTCCACCTTCCCCCCGCCCCGCTGTTGACCCCCCCGCTTCCCCCTCGCCCCCATCGGCTCCCCCCTCCCCCTCTCTCCGTGCACTGTTGCCCACTCCGCCACTCGCCTCCTCCCCATCCCCCTGCTGTCCCCCTGTCGCCTCCATCCCCCCTATAAGCTCTTCTTTGGAAATCCCTGCGCGCACTAAAAAGTCTTCCAGTGTAATTTCCGCAAACGACAATTGCCGTATTTGTTGCTGTCCCTGCCCCTGCGCTTGCCGCCGCTCCGCCCCCCCCCCCTCCGCGCGCTCCTTCTGCTGCTCCTTCCGCCCCGCCCCCCTCAGCAGCTCCCCCCTCCCCCCCTAGTTCCGCCTGTATGTCTTTCCACACGTCTTCCACAGTCCGCGCAGTCAGCGCGCGCGGAAGCGCCGCGGCGGACTTCTGCCGCCGCAGCGAGCGCGCGCGCAGCAGCCCCGCGGCCTTGTCTCGCGCGCGCGGATCCGCGCCACCGGCGGCGTGCGCGGCGGCGAGCATTTGCGACTCCTCGGCGAGCCAGACGGATCGCAGGAAGTCGTCCATGGCCATGGATGCGACGGCGTGCGACGGGCCTGCGAACGTCGCCTGGAATTCGTCGAGCGTGAGCGAATAGATGGAAGCCTGCCGCGCCAGCAGCTCCGGGAACGCCATGGCGCGCGGGCGGAGGGCGGAGAGGGTGGCGGAGAAGTGCAGAGGCGGAGAAGCGGGGAGGCGGAAAGGCGGAGAGGCGGAGGCGCGAAAGCGGACTGGCACCGGAGAGGGAAATATGTACAAAATGGGCGCGCCAATTTCAGACGACCGCGACGAGCGCACGTTCCGCGAGGTGTCTAATAAAAGGTGGCGCGAGAGAGGATTGGTATTTACAAGGTTAAGGCGGCTATAGTTACGGTGCACTAATAAACTGCAAAGCGCACTGCAGCAGAGGTTCGGCCTCTAACGCGCCTATCACAGCCCGTCCTCAACGGCTCCTCCCATTCCCCTCTTCTCTAATCCTCTTGTCGCATCGTCGCAAGGGGCGAGCGGCGCGGGGTGATCGCAGGGACGAGCCACGGGCACAAACACGCCAAGGGCACGAGCACGCTACGGCACGGCCTGAAGGAGGAGGAAACTGTGAATTCACGGAGGAGAAAAAAAAACGAGGTGCGGCATACGGAGCTCCGAAGAGAACCACGAAATTTAAATTGGGTCCGGACGCCAGAGATATGCGCGAGGCGAGGCGACTCGGAATAACATACCATATCAATAACACACAACCACCCACCCTCTCATCTGCAGGTGGCTTGCATAAATGGGCGCGACATTGTTTCCTTCCTCGTCATTCCGGTCCAAGCGGTTGGATCAGGTCCGCAGCGGTGGTCGGGTTGCATGTATTTATTCGCAACCGGAAAATAACTGATTTGGAATGTACCCTAACCTATCATATTTTAGTTATTTTTGTCTTCACCTGTGCGGATTTTCTCGCATTTCGGGTGGTGAAACTCAACTGCTTCTTGACTCGGTGGCAGCCCTACAACATAGCTATACTACTGAAGCGCCACCAATCACCACTCTACCACCTGTGCCACCCGTGCCAATAGCTCACACCATCTCATCCTTTGCCAATGGTCACAAGCCCACCACCACCTATGGCCATGAGCCCACCAGCTTTGCTCACAAGCCCTCGACTATGGTCACAAACCCACCAACCCTAGTCACGAGCCACCAGCCCTGCCATGGTCCCGAGCCCCCAGCCCTGGTCCTGAGCCACCAGCCCTGCCCTGGTCCCGAGCCACCAGCCCTGCCCTGGTCCCGAGCCACCAGCCCTGCCATGGTCACGAGCCCCTAGCCGTGGTCACGAGGCGACGAGCTTCTTGAGCCTCTCAGCGACGGCGGTCATCTCGGGGCGCAGCTCCTCCTCCCCGATGCAGAACTTGGCGATGACTGCGATCTTGAGCGCGCTGTCGCGGTCAAAGCTGCTCTCCAGCACCGAGTCGATGAGCAGGTCGATCTCGGGCTTCTTCTGGTCCAGCAACGGGAACACCCAGCTGGTGAGCGGCTGCCCCGTGTCCGACACCGCGCGCTTGCCCGTGATCAGCTCCAGTAGAAACACTCCGAAGGCATACACGTCCGAGCTCTGCCGCAGCAGCCCTGCACGGGGGGGGGGAAGGGGGGGGGGGGGGGTGGGTGGGCGAGGTGTAAAAAGTGATTTTTTTAGACGTCTCAAGAAATCACTTTTCACACGTGAGAGGCTGCCCCGTGTCCGACACCGCGCGCTTGCCCGTGATCAGCTCCAGCAGAAACACCCCGAAGGCGTACACGTCCGAGCTCTGCCGCAGCAGCCCTGCCGGGGGGGAGTGGGCGAGGGGGGAACAGGGGGAGGAGAAAAGGGTTGTGGGTGGGGGGAGGGAGTAAGTGGGGAAAAGGTGGTGAGTAAGAGCTCATGCAGGTGTGCTGGAAACAGGGGCACCTGTTAACAGGAGTGCTGCCAGCGCTGCCATTTCTGCACCACTGTGTGTCCGTGTCAGCTACTCACCGCGTGCCCCTAGCACCTGATTTTGTGCGTGGCACCTGGATTTGCACATGGCATCTGAGCGTGTGAATGGCACCTGAGCGTGGGAGTGCCACCTGAGCGTGTGAATGGCACCTGAGATTGTGAGTGGCATCTGGTTGTGTGCGAGGCATGTGAGCGTGCGAGTGAGGCACATGAGAGAGTGAGGGGGGCACCTGTTTCCATGTAGTCGGGGTCGAGGTACCCCAGGGTGCCCATGACCCGAGTGGACACGTGTGACTTGCCCGCCTCCTGCTCCTTGCACATCCCAAAGTCGCTCAGCTTCGCCGTCCAGTCCTGCAACCGTGCCGCCAATGCCACCACCCAGAAGCATTTGGGGAGGAGGGGAAAGGGGATGTGGTGAGTGCGTGGCGTGGGCATGGCAGGCGGGGACGCATTTGAGCAAGCGGTTTCTCCAACAGTGATGGCAAAAGGAGGAGATATCATGCGGGGCAGGAGTGAAGTCTCCCCAAACTTCACAAGAAGGTGTAGCGTGGCCTACTGCTTACTGCTCGTCTCCACATCCCTTCCCCCCCCTCCTCCCCACCTCCTCTGTGCGGTCCCACACTCCACCAACCCAACCAACTTTCCTCCCGCTCCACGCCCGCCCACCCACCCACCGCCCTGCCACTTTGGCCAGATCTCCCAGCCTCACATTACACTTGTACAGCATGAACCTCCCATGCATACCACTCACCCAGGCGCACCCTTCCCACTAGTGCCTTCCTCCCCACGTTCCCCCGCCCATACCCCTTTCCTCTCCCCCCTCCCCACTTGCACTGACTGCATCAAGCAGCACACCAGCGCCTCAACCTTCACCCCAAGCCCACCCAGCACCGTGCCAGCTTGCCTGAATCGCCCAGCCTCCTATCCATCCCCTTGCCGCTCACCGCATCGAGCAGCACGTTGGAGGGTTTGAAGTCGCACAAATGCACACCTCCTCCCATAGTTCCTTCCTCCCCACCACCCCCTCCCCCCTGCCCTCCCATCCCCAGCACTGACCGCATCGAGCAGCACGTTGGAGGGTTTGAAGTCGCGGTGAATGACGTCGTTGGCGTGCAGATACGCCAGCGCCTCTGCTGACTGCCACGCCACGCTCACCCTCCGCTCCCATGAGAACGGCTCCTGCCCCGCTCGCTTGCCTGCCCGCATGCACGGCGCGGGGGAGATGGGGAAGGGGGCGGCCGGGAGGGGAGGGGGTGGCCGGGCGGGGTGTTGGGCCGGGGAGGGAGACGAGTGGGGGAGAGGGGAAGCAGTTTGGAAGGGTGCAGATACGCCAGCGCCTCCGCCGCCTGCCACACCACGCTCACCCGCCGCTCCCACGAGAACGGCTCCTGCCCCGCTCGCTTGCCTGCCCGCATGCACGGAGTGGGGGAGAAAGGGGGGGGGGGCGGCCGGGAGGGGAGGGGGCGGCGGGAAGGGTGTTGGGCAGGGAGGGAGACGAGTTGGGGGGAGAAAGGATGTGGCTTGCAAGAGTGCGGGAGGAAGGATGTGGCTTGCAAGAGTGCGGGAGGAAGGATGTGGCTTGCAAGAGTGCGGGAGGAAGGATGTGGCTTGCAAGAGTGCGGGAGGAAGGATGTGGCTTGCAAGAGTGCGGGAGGAAGGATGTGGCTTGCAAGAGTGCGGGAGGAAGGATGTGGCTTGCAAGAGTGCGGGAGGAAGGACGAGTCGGGGGAGAGTGTGAGGGAGGGGAGAAGGGGAACTGGGTGTGGGAAGATGGGGACGGAAAGGGGGGGGGGGGAGAGTGGGGTGGGATGTACAGGAAGGTGAGTGGAGGGGCCTAGTTACATGGCGAGGCTGGCGATTACGGGAGTGTGCGTGCGGGAGGCGGGTGGGGTTGGGAGAGAAGAGAAGGGGGTTGAGAAAACGGCTTACGGTTGAAGAGGGCGGATTCAACGCTGTCGTTGGCGTAGTAGTGGTAGACGAGCAGGCACTCGCCCTTCTCCTTGCAGTACCCCACCAGCTCCACCAGATTCCCATGCCGCAGCCGGTCCAGTATCAGCACCTCCGCCTGTTCACAGCCAGGCACACGCACCCAGGTGCGCACGAGGGGGAAACAGGGGTGGGGAGGGATGGGGGGAATCGGAAATGCGGGAGGGGGGAGATGAACGGATGGGGGGGGAATGCCGCAGCCGGTCCAGTATCAGCACCTCCGCCTGTTGCGCCAGGGGCACCCAGGTGCGCATGATGAGGGGAAGGAAGAGGGCGGGGGTGAAGATGGGGAGGGGAGGAGAAGAGGGTGAGATTCGCATGCCGCAGCCAGTCCAGTATCTGCACCTCCGCCTGCTCAACGCCACGCCCCATGGGGAGGGGAGGGGGAAGGGAAGAGGGAGGGGGGTGAAGATGGGGAGGGGAGCGGAGGGGAACGGGGTGGGGAGGGGGAGGTTGGGAGGGAGTGAGTCACGGATGGGGGGGAGAGGATGTGAATGGATGAGGGAGGGAATGCCACGTTGGTATGGCGGCAAATCCAAGGCAACTTGCTTGTGAGAGAGGGGGAGGCGAGGGGAGGAAGAGAGGGGAGGGGCGATACACTAGTTTCCATCCTCGCTCGCTCGCTGGCAACGCAAGGGCAGGGCCGCAGGCACTCGGCAAGAACTCATCACCCAATGCCACGGGCAGCAGCCACGCGCGCACGAGGAGGGGAAGGGGGAACAGGTGAGGGGAGGGGGTGGGGATGGGGAAGGCGGGAGAGGGAGGGAGATGGGTGGGGAGGGGGGGGGAGGGAGGGAGATGGGTGGGGAGGGGGGATAGGGAGGGAGATGGGTGGGGAGGGGGGAGAGAGTAAGTCAGGAGTGCGGGGAAGGAGATGAGTGGATGAGGGATGCGGGACGGTGTGGCGGCAAATCCAAGGCGGCTTGCTTGAGAGGGGGGGAAGGCGAGGGGAGGAGGAAAGGGTACGGGCGATACACGAGTCTCCATCCTCGCTCACCCCGCTGGCAACGCAAGGGCACGGCCACAGGCAGCAGCAAGCACCCCCACCCACTGCCACGCACCCCCCAAGCCTGCAGAACCCCGTAACCTGTGCGCACCCCCAAAGAGTGCGCGCACCCCCCAGGCAGGCGCGCATCCCCCAAGCCTGCGCACACCTCCTAAGCCTGTGTTCACCCTCCAAACCTGCCTCCATCCAAGCGTGCACTCACCCCCCAAGCCTGTGCGCACCCCAAAAGTCTGCGCGGACCCCACAAGCGTACGCCTTTCCCCCAAGTGTGCGCGCCCCCCAAGCGCGACCCCAAAAGCCTGCGCGCACCCCCCAAAGCCTGCACGCAACCCCCCAACCGTGCGCCCCACCAACCGTGCTCGCACCCCCAAGCCCGCACATAGCAACCAAGCCTGCGAACATCCCAACAGTACGCACTCCCCCCAAATGAGTGCGCCCCCCCTCCCAGGCGGGCGCGCACCCCCAAGCCGCACGCACCAGCCACTCGTCAACGCCCTGCTGGCTCTCCGCGCTCAGCCGCTTCACCGCCACGTCGACCGCGCGCCCGTCCAGCTCCGCCGAGCCGCGGTACACCATGCCGAAGGACCCCTCGCCCAGCACGGGGCACTTGGACGAGAAGCCGTCGCACATGTCGCGCACCTCGCGCAGCTTGAACTTGCGCAGCGGCCGCGCGCCCTCCGTCGCCGTCGACTCGATCGCGTCCGTGACGCGCGCGTCGACGTCCGTCGTGGTTGGCACTTGCGAGTCTGGCGCGGCGCGATGATGGGCGGCACGGTGGGGGATGAAGAAGGGACAGATGGGGATAGGGGTGGGCGGAGGGTGGGACGGGAGATGCCACGGTCAAGCACACGAGGGCGCACGAAACACGGAGTCGCAGCCAGCAGGGAAGCGGAGGTCGAGGGACGGAGATGGCAGCCGCATGTGCCTCGCGCGACACCCTTCCCCGGTGCTCGCGCTCTAACGCTGTTTAGATCGCTCGCGCCGCGGCGTCTTACAGTACCTTGCACTGTAACGGATTTTCCTGTCGGCTTCTGCGAAACTGCGTGGTTGCTCGCCCCCCCCGCGTCGTTCTTTCCGGCCACCTCCACCGACACGGCGCACCCCATCGCGATAACGAGCGACTCTATAACCGGTACGACGGCACACCCGCTGCGTACGAGTGAGAACGGCGCAGGCACGGATGGCTAGCGCATGCCGCGCGTTGGGTGCTTCCGTTTCAGAGCTGGCTGATCCGCTAAAAGCTAATGCCTTTAAAGTAAAGTTACTATTATCAATAGCTACGTCGTACCTAGTGGTATAAATAGAACACTAGCTACCTAAGTCGATTGACTAAGCCGTAACAGATGGCAGCAGAGGCGGCATAACCTAACATCGTGCTGCAATGTCGTGATCCGCGGGATTGGGATGGAAGCGGAGTGAGGTGATGCACACGACGAGCATGACGTCATGACGCACGCACGTCTAAATAACTATCGTCGCTACCCACGGCGCCATAGTCGCTTCATCGGACTGAGCTGTTTGGCGGCCAGGACGCGGTGAAAGCTGTGAGGTTGAGTTGGGTGTTGCTGTGTCTGCTGGGCTGGCTGACACCCTCTCATGATGATGGGCGTGGTGTTGCTCGCACTCTCACTCTTCCTCCTCGCACTCAACCGAACCAAACCGTCGCTTAGCTGCCAGCCAGACCACCCCTCCGCTTTCGCAAGTGCGCGACTGAGAGGAAGCGCGAAAGGCCTGCTGCGTGGTCAATTCTACCTCGCACGGCCAAGCCCAGAGCAGGCGAGACGCAGAACCTTCTGGTCGGTGCTATTCTCGAAATAGACCTCTGCGACACGAAAAAGCACAAAGCAAGTGCTTGGAACGGCACTGCTTACATTCGTTGTGGCAAGCAAATATGCAAGGCTGTTACGAGTGCAATTGAGTGAGCGAACGAGAACTGCACTATCGAAGCAAGAGTACAATGAGCGAAGGCATGAGCGAAGAATATATAGCGAAACTACAGTGGTAACGGTAATGTGTGGAAAATGGGGTGCGCGACGGGCCTGGTGCCGAGGTTGGGAAAGTGTCGAGGCGGAGGTCCGGAGCGCGGGTTACCAACCGAACCGTGAGGTTGGGTCGCGTCGTGAATGGTGGCGGGAATGGTGTCGAAGCGAGTGTCGCGAGTGGTAACGGATTACTGTTGGGTGCTGTGGGTGGGAACAGTGGTGTACGCACTGAGCAGGGACGCGAAGTAAGGAAAAGGAAATTTCCTTACACTACCCCCCCTCCCCAAGGAGGCCCCTCTTACGAGAGCGCGTGTACATCTCGGAAGTTTCGGCTTCGCAGATACTCGGTGAGGACAGGGTGATTCTCAATTCTATCCAGGGGGACCCAGTTGTCTTCGGTGGGTGTGCGGTCCTTCCAACGGATCAGCAATTCGATTCTGCGGGCTCCCCGTGGGTCACGTACTCGATGGCTCAGTATTTTCTCAGGTGTGATGACCGGCTCAGTTGGAGGTCGGGTCATGCTGGCGGGGCGGTTGCGGGGCAGTTGGCTGGTGGATGGCACGTATGGGCGAAGCAGGCTGACGTGGAATGACGGGCTGACGTACCAGTCAGCAGGGAGGAGGAGGTGGGCGGTGACGGGTGTGATCATGTGGCTGATGCGAAATGGCCCGCAATATCGGGGGCGGAGTTTCGGGGTGATGGGCAGGCGGAGGTTTTGGGTGTCGAGTAAAACTAGGTCGTCTGGCTGGTAAGTGACGGGGCGGCGGTGTCGGTCGGCGTTGCGCTTAGCGATGACGTTTGATTTTTTTATTGCTTCTGCTGCTCGGGTCCGTGCTGCTTGTAATATCTCTGCGAACTGTTGTGCGCGTGGGACTGGGTTGTTGGGATTCGGGGTCATGGGTACTGTGGGGTCTTGTCCGTAGTTCAGGTAAAACGGTGACTGTTGGGTCGTGGCGGATGGTGAGTTATTGTTTGCGAATTCGATGAGTGGCAGTTGCTGTTCCCACGTGGTCGGGTCGTCGCACGTGGCCCGGATGAGCTGTTCCATGGTCTGATTTGTCCGTTCTGTCTGTCCGTCGGTTTCGGGGTGGTACGATGAACTGAATTGCAGTCGCGTGCCGAACTGCTGCCACAGGTTCCGCCAGAAGTTGCTGGTGAATTTCGTATCTCTGTCGCTGATGATCGATGCTGGTATCCCGTGCAGTCGTACGACAGTGGTGATGAAGAGGCGGGCTGTTTCTTCGGCTGTGATTGATTTCTTGCAGGCTGCGAAGTGTGCCATTTTCGTCAGTCGATCGACGACGACCAGGATCGCGTCATTCCCACTCGTTCCGGCAGGTAACCCCGTGACGAAGTCCATCGTCACCTGCTGCCAAGCACGCTCTGGGGGTGGGATCGGCTGCAACTGTCCTGCCGGCCGCTTCCGTGATGACTTCATGATCTGGCAAGTGGGACACGATGCCACGTGTCGTTGAACGTCGGTCAATATTTCGGGCCAGTAATAATACCGCTGCAGCTGCTGCCGTGTTTTCTCTACCCCGAAATGTCCCGAGGTAATTCCGTCGTGTGCCTCCTGTAACAGTAATTCCCGTAGCAGTGTGTACCCCGGTACCCAGATGCGGTCGGTCCCGGCTTTTACGTAATAGACTCCTTTTGCTGCTGCGAACTGCTGCGAATTTCCTCCTGTGAAGAATGGGTCCGTTTGGTATCCGTGGGTAAATAGTCCGGTCAGTAGCGGGCTGGACTGGGCGAGTAGTATCGCGTGGATCTGGGCAGTGGGTCGGGTCAGTGCGTCGGCGATGTTCGAGGCTCCCTTTTTATAGGTGACCGTGTAATGAAAATTGGACTCGAGAAAATCGAGCCAGCGAATCTGTCGTGGGTTGAGGTGGGGCTGTGCGCGGAGGTACTGTAGTGATCGGTGGTCTGTCCGTACTGTCACGTCTGCGCCGGTCAAGTAACTGCGCCATACTTTGAACGCATGCACGATCGCGAGCATTTCGCGGTCGTGTATCGGGTAGTTTTTTTCGGGCGGATGCAGCTTTCGTGACTCGTATGCGATAGGCTGTAGGCCGTTGCCGAAATCCTGTAGCAGTACGGCTCCAATGGCGATGTCGCTTGCGTCTGTAATAACTTCGAAAGGGCAGTGTGGGTCAGCGATGCGCATTACGGGCGGGGAGCAGAGGACGGTTTTCAGGGCAGAGAAGGCAGCATGCTCTTTCTCCCCCCACGTAAAAATGACCCCCTTTCGTAGCAGATCCGTCAGTGGGGCTGTTAATTGTGCCATGTCGGGGACGAACCGACGCACATAATTAACGAACCCTAAAAAACTCTGCAGCTCCGTGATGTTTGTCGGGGGATGCCACGCTTTTACCGTGTCCAACTTCTTCGGGTCGATTTCAACCCCAGCCTCCGAAATAACGTGCCCTAAAAACTCTAGCCTGTCTTGAAAGAACTCGCACTTGGAACCCTTGGTCAGTAGTCTGTGCTCGTCTAAAACCTTAAATACTGCTTCCAGATCTGCTAAGTGCTGCTGCTTGTCCCGACTGTAAACCAGGATGTCGTCGAGGTAAACTATCACGCATTTATCTAAGAGCGGCCTAAACGCCTCGTTCATGGTCATCTGAAAAGTCGCCGGTGCGTTGGTCAGTCCGAATGGCATCACCGTGTATTCGAATGATCCGTATCTAGTCCTGAAAGCTGTTTTGGCGCAGTCCGATGGTTCGACCCTAATCTGGTGGTAACCTCCCCGTAAATCTATTTTCGAAAAAACCCGTGCTGTTCGCAGTTGGTCTATCAGTTCGTCGGCGCGGGGAATGGGGTATCGCGATTTGACTATTACCCGGTTCAGTGCTCTGTAGTCGATGCACATGCGAAACCCTCCATCTTTTTTCGGTGTGAACAGTATCGGTGCGGCAAACGGTGACGAGCTCGGTCGGATGAATTTTTTCTCTAATAGGTAATCTAACTGCTTCCTCAGTTCGTCGAGCTCGGGTTGTGTCAGTCTGAACTGTCGCTGTACGGTTGGTTGTGCCCCCGGTTCTAACTCTATGCGATGGTCGTGTGCCCGCTGAGGCGGCAGTCCCTCCGGTAAATCATCCGGAAAAATCCCCGGGTATCGTTTCAACAGTTCCTGCAGTTCGGGCGGTACCGCTGCCAGCAGTTTCTGAAAATCACTCGGCTGCTCTGCTTCTCCTATCAATGCTATATCTACTGCGTACACGTCAGCTCCAGCGGCGACAGCCCGTTTCATCGTGACGGCGTTGACGTGGACCGTTGAAGACTCGGGCGACTGCCAGCGAGGTAGCACGACCCAGTTACCGCTACTTCGCACAGTGCAGCTACCCGTCGTCCAGTCAATTCGCGGGTTATACCGTCGCAGCCAATCACGTCCCAGTAGAATGTCGTGCCCATCCAATGTCGTCGCGAGCATTTCCTGTGTAAACCCAAAGTTCCCCCCGCAGCGGACCTTTACTCTCTCCACCTTCTCCCGTATGGCCAGCGGCGTTCCGTCCACTAAGCGTGCATCTATTTCCGGTAAACACCGACTAAGTGTCAGTTGCAGCTTCCGTGCGGTTGCGGTATTAACTAAGCTGTGGCTTGCTCCTCCGTCTATAAAGATCTTTACTGCTGCTCCCTGTATTTTCCCGTAAATCAGTACTGGGCAATCCTGTCAGAATGTTATGCTCTAGCCTGTAGTGGGGTGCTCTATAGCGAGTACAACCCTTCTAGGGTTTGCTATTTGTATCCTCATTCCTGCTAGTGAACCCCCTCTTTGCCTAAACTGTTTCTTGCCTAGCTAGGGCTTTCCTAGCTATGGCGCCTTCTTCTACTGCTTATCTTCACATGGTATCAGAGCGATATGCTCCTGGCCTGTGGGCCCCACCTCACTGCTTCTGCTGCTACTGCTACTCTCTGTGTTGCACGCCCCGTGGCGTGCAA